CTTATCATAATCCCTTTTGCAATCTCAACACCATCTGGCTCGTATCTTGTAACTATCTTCGTTACTTAGCCTCAAAACCTTACATTTGTCTTACATATCCTCAACAGTAGATAAAAAAAAGTAATTGTAGAATTCTAGTTACCTAATACCACCAGCATGGTATAAAACCTTATTATAAGCTACCAGACGTATAGATCAGTGTTTAAAGTAATAATAATACATTATTAATAATGTAATAATATTATTAAAATAATAATAATACAGCTGATGCCATCTGTCGGCAGATAAGAACACTATCAACTGGCTGGTCAACAGTGGCCATAAGATACAGCTTACGCCATCTGTTGACATCAAATTACACTTATAACAAATTACCCCACAAAATACCACTAGCGCCATCTCTTTTTTTTCCAACGCACTATAAATAGCCAAACAGCAACCCATAAGGCGGGTTGTTGTGCTCGAGTAGGAGGTTCCAAGCTCCGCCCATAGTGGGTATGGGGTGCATAATAAATGGCATATCATTGGTAGATATTCTTTGTTGACATTCACACAACAGCCAATCACAGGAAGGATCAACAACCTTGTTGTTGTGCACAAGGACCTATTTCTTAGTTTAAATTTTATTCATAAAAAAGTGTTGGTATTCCCCGCACCAGCCAATCACAGGAATGTATTTCTGGAAGCTCGGCCTCCTTATGGACTCAGCACATCGCTCTAGCTCATGACTCTCTGTTTCATCTCTTGTATATACAAACTATGACTTTTTTTCGATTACTGTTATAATTAATAATATGAGATATAAAAGTTTTTACACAAAATGGCTAAATTCTGCCATTAAATGGACTTTGTCTGCTATACATAAAAACATACACCAATTTATTACCATTCATCCATTATTAATTTCAAATGTAATGTATAATGTCAAGGTTTTTCCCTCTCGCCATTACTTGGTGCAATATTTGAAAGTTGTCTATTTATTTATCGATCTATCTATTATCTTGTATTTATATTTACAAGATTCTGTGCATGGAAGAAAACTCTGCATTGAAATGGGACTAATTTATTAAATAATATTATTTAGTATTCAATTTCTTTCTTTATTATGCACCCCATACCCATCCCGTGGGCGGTGGTGTAAAGGATTACAGAGGCACATAATCGGTTCAGGAACTGAACCCTCTAGTTCGTTTAGGTAAGCAAATAACAATTTCTGACCAGGGGGAGAAAGATACTGGCAGTATGGGGCGTTAAAGTTTATTGAAGATTAAATTCTGCAGAACATGTAAATGTATAAAGTTCAAATATAAAGTAAGTAATTATATAAAGTTTATATTAAACACGGTTTATATTATAGGCTTATAACAAAGTTGATATTATTAAACTTAATATTGAACATGTAAATATATAAAGTTTCAAAATATATAATTTAAGGACTATATAACGTTTATATTAAAATATATAAAGTAAATATATAAAGTAAGAATTAACAGTAACAATTCCAAGTCCGAGGACTAGATTTAACTTAAAAGGTACACCCGTAGTAAGTATGAGACCTTAGCCTATAGTGACATGGAAACTAATTCTGCAGAAACCTAAAGGTTAACTGGTACTAGAATTAAGGCCGAGTGCAAATGTGTAGTAATTATATAACACTAGGATATAACAGGCAGGACACAAAGAATAACTAATAAGTGAGAGACCACATAACACGTAATGTACCCGGCCAAGAGGCCGTAAAAGACCTAATGGATAAGGAGAAGGGGGTGTGACTACAAGTAGGGCTTACTAGCACCTAGACTGGGCAAAGTATTAGCTGCGGACAGCGGGACACTTGGGGACCGGCGCTGCACCCCCACCGCAGGCCAGCGGCCGGACCCCCCCCCCCCCCCCCCCCGAAGGGCGAGTGCCAGCTGGCCGCGTGAGGCACTCAATGTAGCAGAGCAACAACGTCCCGCCTGACGTAGGATGTGAGCACTACTCTTCCGCCTGCCGTCTGCCATTATTTCTGATGTGGCGAGCCCGTCCCGAGACAGCTGGGTGCGGAGCGTAGTCATCTGAGTCAAGCCTAGCGCCGAGGCTTGACCGGCGCTGCACCCCCCTTCCCACATGCAGTGGGGAGACAATCGGGACAACTGTGCAAAGCATGACGGGGGTACAAAAGCAGCCGCTTGCAAAAGGGGGGGAGGGTGGGGTTTTGCGAGGGCAGCGGCGAGGGCAGGCGGAGTGAGGCAGAGCCCCAGTGTGCGCCCGTATTTATACGGCCCCAAACTGCCCGCGCAACGCCGCGGGACGCGCTGCGCAATTGTTTCTTTCTCCCCCGCCAGAAAAATCCCCGCTTGCGATCAAGCAGTGACCATTTTTTGACGCTAGTTACAAAATTATTAATGTTATATATACATGATCGCACGTATATATATATATATATATATATATATATATATATATATATATATATATATATATATATATATATATATATATATATATATATATATATATACGTATACATATATACATACACATACATATCTAATCACACACACAAATACACACATCAATAATCTTTTGTATCACAAGTGATCAACAAGAGGCTCGCAACAGTCACTATACAAGGCACTTTACATCTATAGTGAGTCACACAGTTACTAATCCTGCTGCCCACCCACCCAACTGGGCGGCAGCTTTACAGTCATGTGCATGCATTACCTACAGTAAGGAAATTTTGGATACTTCGCTAAGATTTCGGGCAGCACGTCATTATGAATGAAGTACTTACACATTTCTTGGACATTATTGATGGTGTTATCTCTAAATTCCGCAATTTTTTCACATTCCATTATATAATGACGCAAAGTATGCGAATAGTTCTGCTGACAGAGTTTACATTTAGTCAAATCTACATCAGCAGATGTTACAAACTCCCAGAGGTACTTGTAGCCGAGCCTAAGCCTAGCAGTGGTAACATCTAGAAGTCTGCTAACATTATTGGATGACCCATAGACATGCGGTTCTTCATGCATAATAGAATGATAATAGATGGAGTAACTGGTGTGAATTTCACTTTGCCTCAAGTCTCCGAAATTTAGTTGATGTTCTTACAATTATTATTAATTACAATTATTTATAGCTTAGTTACTTTCATGTTACTCGCAATCGTACATTCTTAACATTAATAGCCCAAATTAGCACATCTTGCTTTTAAATTTGCCCAAAAAGTAGCAAGTAGGGAAATTAAAAATTTGGGAGCGCGGGGCTTTCAAAAGTAGCCCAATTCGCTATTTGTAGCCCAATCTGGCAACACTGCTCCCGGGCTCCCAGCAGAGGGACTACGCTCTTCCTCTTCTTGTACATGCAGCTCCTGGGAACCAAAAGTTCCAAGTAGCACAGGCTATGGTGATCCCATAGTGGACTTACCTGGCACAGGAGCGGGGGCTGTAAATGCGGAACTAATAGTAGCCAGTTTGTATTGAAAGTAGCCCAATATTTGTTTAGACTGCTAAGGGGTTTCATAGTAATCACACTTGTCAATGATACAGGCCTATAATTAAGAGGGTCTTTCCTGCTACCATTTTTGTAGAGTGGAACTGTTTGTCTTTTTCCACATACTGTACAGTATCTGCCACGACTCCTGTACCCAAACAGGACAAAAAAAAAAATAGAAGTGGGGTGTAATTACCGAAGTGTAGATACAGGATGAAAGCTACGCTCGTGGTATGACCCATCTTCCCAGAACTCTTGTCATATGTTGCTTTGAACTTACTGATGGTTTGTCTGCTTTCCCTCTTGTTCCAACCACTTACAGTATAACTGTTTGCAAAAGAAAATTATCTAATATTTTTTCGGTGTGTGCATGTGCATGTCAGTAGTGACTTGATATTAAACATATTTAAGGATTCAAGTAAGGATACTGATTGCTGTATGGGATTGGAGTTTGGTATTGTTCTTATTAAATATTAACTCCCTCCACACATTCTCTTGTGTCAACTACATTTACAAAACCCTGTTCTTAAATGCAAACCATGCTCTGAAACTCTCCCTGGACAGATGTAATAGGACCCATTATTGCCACACCAGAAATAAATATATCTTTGATATCCCCAGGGTCAACCTTAATCTGTGTAAGCACTCTATGCAAATAAAGGGACCTAGTCTATGAAACTCACTCCCTAGTGAATTGAAAAGCTGTCAAACTTTTGCCTCATTCAAAAACAAAAAGTATCTAATTTCATCTTCGTAGTTTCCTATACTGAGCTTTAAATTTGCTCTGTATCTAGTGTTACCCAGTCTCCCAATCTTTATGTACTTAATCCAAACAACCCTATCATTGTGTTCATTGCTGTCTTCTTTTATGTGCTAGCCATATGCTGTATTGTGCCTACTAATTTTTGTTAAACTACCATTTAAGCTGTCATTGCAATCTATCTGAGCTACCTATGTGCTTTAATATACTGTACCTACAAATTTCTCTCATCTTTTATTTTTTCTTGCTATGTACCTGTTATCATTTTTATAAATTTTGCTAGTTTTTACCTACTTAAAATTTTCTTAGATTTATAAGGACCTGCCTGAAACGCTGCGCGTACTAGTGACTTTACAACAATGTAACTACTATGCTGTGTATCCTAACAGTCCCAATGTACCTTCTTGTATACAGTATATAAAAATAAATAAAGAATTAAATATTACTGATTTATGTTGAGTGAGTATGTCATAGGTAATTTTGGGTTATCGATTCCCTGGCACAGATACCACAGGAGAGATATGGATAGGCAAGTGAATAATATAATGTTACGAAGGAAGAGTAGTCCATAGTATTAGACTTTAGAGAAGGCCTACTTTTGGAAACCTTTTGGGTTATATTTTGTACTGTATATGGCAATTCAAATTAAGCTTGTCAATTTGAACAAAGAATTTTTCCATCTACTCTGTTCTCAATTTCTGCATTGTTAATTTAGTTTAATTTGATTGGAGGGACTTGTTTCCAAACAATATGTATATAAAAGGTTGAAAGCTTTAATACAGTAACAAGGTGGCATACCTAAATTCAAACAAATTAGAAATAAATCATAACACAGATCATTACATATAATAGTCAACTATACAATTTCCTTCCTGTAAGTAGATTTATTCATGATTCTTAAGGCCTTTAAGTTGTTTTGTGTTATCTGCTATTTTTTTTCTAAGTTTCTGCAGTATGTGGCCTTGAGACTCAACGTTGCCTAACTTCTCTACAAATTTTTATTATTACATGACTTAATAATGGTCTATGATGGACTGAAATGTTGTCATTTCCTTTATCTTCAGATTTGTGGGTTGGGTGTCTAATTTTCAGCCACATTATTGCGACTTATTGTCTGCCGACTCTAGCCTTTTTTTTTATTTTAGATATCGGGGAAGTCTCAGAGTTCAAGTGATTTATTGCAGAGTAACATTGCTACGACTAGAACTGAAACACTCGAGGCTTTTTTATAAATTAAGGATGCTCTCTCTGAAAGATTATTGTCTGAAAGAATCTGAAAGAATCTCTCTGAAAGATCATTATCATAATCAATTACTTGATTATGTTTTGAGAGGATTATAGCTTTACATCTGAGGAATTTGTTGGATGTTGATACTTGAGATAGCTGCCTGAGAGAAAGTCATTTACCTTTACCCTCAGTATTACACAAGTTACTGCATATGCTTTAGAAAATAAAATGTATTTAAATATTACAAATCCAAAATAGTTTACTGTTAGAACAATAAATACAACAATTTACATACAGTGCTGACAAATGGTAATTGTTTAAGTTTTAATTGGTTATATTCATACCAAAGTAAGCACAGTAATTATCAAAAGAAGGCACCAAGCTGGGAAGACTGAGCACCATCTGTGTCACTGTACAGTATATTCAAAATGCACTAAATTTCACAAAAGATGCCAATATGAGAACAAATGGACATCAAGGGAGCGTTATCAAAAATATAATACAGTAATTCATTGTGTTGGAGGACAGGCATAACGTGTATTCATACACATTAAGCTCCCCCAAAGGTCAAATTACTCACCCCACCCAGAATGCAACCCCACAATAAGCTGACTAACTCCTAAGTACCTACTTACTGCTAGGTGAACAGATGCATTAGATAATAGGAAATGTGCCCAACCATCATTATAGTGGAGGTGAGTGCAAAAGTACAAGGGGCGAGATTCAAGGCTTATGAGTAAGGAAAGGAGGAAGACGAGTATCAGAGCTCGGGGCTAAAAAGTGCAAATCCAATTCCTTCACGATCAATAAAAATATTTTTACACAATGGCATCATGGAGATTGACAAGCAACATGTCTAAAACAAATTTAGCCACAATCTTATGGATTTCCTCCCAGATATGAGGGAGAGGGAGGTCAACAGCAGGATCTCCAACTGTCGTGTTTAGCTGTATGGATAGTCTATGGGCCACCACACTTGCCTTCCAAAACAGAATAGAAGATTCAGGTGTAATCCAGTGTTAGTGCCTCTTTCAGGTTACATGATTATAGAATACAGCCAGAGCACTGTTCAAGTTCCACCAAGGAATACACTTCAGCATGCCAAGGGAGGCATGGCGAGGAACAGAGCAGATAATAGCAGCCATTGTGGTACTGTATTATGAAAAAGAGGGAGCAAAGGAGACATCAGATGGGCACAGAAGAGCAATATGAAGAGTGAAAAGATTTCAGTACAATATATCAAACCACCACTGAAGGGAAGAGAGTTGAGCAGAAATGCAAGGGGAAAGGAGGATGGGAAAATGGTCACTGTCATAGGATATCATCAAGGACTCTCCATGTCAGATCTATATAAATGGAATATTCATACCAAAAAATATTGGATTATTTTCAGTAGCTTCTGCAAGTTCCAGGGCCATCTACTTATATTCAAGCAAACTTGTTATCTTGACAACTATATAAAGCCTGCTACTTGTGGAGACATCACTAGAGATTCTATCAGTGTGCTATTTACTGATAAGAAGTCTGAGAGCTATCCAAACAGTGGAAGGGTTAAAACAGTTTGTGCATCAAGGTGATATACCATATTATGGTACACTATGCATATGCTTCCTAACTGCTGGGGACAAGAAGCCAGTTACAAGGGTCCCTTAGACCAACTATTGACTTTTTCCAGGATGCAACCCACAACAGGCATCTTAATTTTGAGTACCTAATTACTACTTGGTGAACAAAGACCAAGTGAAAGGATACATGTCCTATCATAACATGGGAATAAAGAACACTGCAAAGAGCTTATACTGACCCATAATGAGACTATCCAGCCAGACTCATTTATATGTACTCCTACGATTATTACATTACCAAGAAATTTGATCCAGAAATCTACAACTGTACAGTATTTCCAAACCAGTTATTTAGTCAAGATTTTTTTTAATCTAAACATAAACAATTTATGTCCAAAGTTCAGTGTTCTATTTTGTCAATATTTGAAGCCTTAATTATAGCTCCTTTTGTTATACTCTTTTTATCCATTTATATTTTGTACTTAAATCATGTCACCCCTTATTCTTTATCTAGAGAATTTTAAATTAAGCTTTTTTTTAGTCTTAAGTAAATAAACCAACCTCCACACAAGAAAGGAAGATGATAGCATTTTTTCTATTCTCCTCATAAGATAGTTTTCCAGTTACAAAGACTAAAATTGTCATCTTTCACTGCACACATTCAGATGATTTTAAGTCCATTGTATGGTATGGTGACCAAGACTAAAGACCTATGTTGCACTTGTTAGGCCCAATACAGTTTCAAGCAACTGTATACAAGTAATTTGTGGAAACTTAATAACTTAGCACTTTCATGTTCCAACCCGCCAGCACATTCCCAACTGTAAACATTCTGGGCATCTTGGGGTCCCACTAAGCAACATCTTAAATGTTTATACTGTATTCTGAACGTTTCCTCAGTTTTTGGATTATTACTATAAATTTGGTATCAAAGAGTTCACAAATAAGTTTGCTAGTACAAAAGCAAAAGAAAGGCGATTTGATAATACAATTTGCATGATTGTGCTGAATATACAAATTCTTATGAACATTTCAACATTCCTTATTTATTTTTCAACATAAATATAAATTAAACACGTGGAAATGCCCACACAAAATTGGTCTGTGTTACTGTAGAAAAGAAAACAACTTTTATACTTTCCTGGCAGGCAATTTCTAAAGAATATTCTCACAAGCAGATCACTTATTGTCTTGAGTGATAAGACAGTTGGCCAAGGTGATCTCTAGATGATCTCCTGATATTTTGGTTGGTCACATTATTACTAAAAAAATTCTGGAATTTCGAGATGGACGACACATTTTAGTGTCATTGGAACATTTACTATTAGACTACAGATAACACGTTTTAGTATCAGCAAAAAGGTAGTGTTAGTACTTAGTAATACAAAATCTGGCCTAGAGGAGCATTCTTCCCTGTTTATAAGAATCATCACTTTTCTCTATTTCATTCGTTGCAAATTATATGTTAAAACTCCAAACTGGTAGAAGCCCATAACCAGGCAATCTGTTCTAGGAATCCTCCACCACTAGGCACTAGTGAGCTGACATAGCTATACTGTATATGCAAAAAATACATAAAAATACTGATTAAAGGACTATGGCATTAATCATACAGCTTTAAAATATTTTTTATATTCTGAAAAAATATTTACATTATTCTGAATGCATATCTAGATTGTCACCAAAAACATTTTCTTCATGAATATTATGAAAACAAAACATATGAATGTATTTCTATGACTAATAATTTTTAGTACCACATACCAAGACATTTCCTCGTATTCTCAGTAATACATCTTCAAGTTTAACTTTCGCACCTAGCACAACAATACAGGCTATGTACACCTGATTACACCTCGGCACTAAATTTTGTGTAACTGGCATATAAAAGTATTTTCAATATTTAAACTCTTCACGTTGGGATATTCAGCAAAGTTGTTACAAATAAAATTTGTTCCCATAAAACACACAAATTCTTCTTGCAATGCTCAATGCCAGAGAAAAAATAAATCAGTATTTCACATACAATAAATGCTATTATCATGTTTTTATTCTCCCAACAAAGATCATGTTTTTACTCTCCCAACAAGGATCATATTTTTACTCTCCCAACAAGGATCATATTTTTACTCTCCCAACAATGCTTCTAACTATTTCTGAAAGCATATGCCTTAGTCCAAAAACATAATTGCTGATCTAGGACACAGTACAGCTGTTCATTTACCCAAATTCTACACTCATCTCATATGCGATCATAAATACTCATGTACTGTATAGCCTTTGCAGCTACTGGTGACAATCTTTCTAAAAGATTATGTGGCAAATTAAATGCTTTATCAATATTAACTTAATTACACCGAGATTCAGACAAAAACAAAATTTAACAGTGGAATAAATACACATGCATCCATACACTCCCAGCATCATCTTGCATTCAGTAAGAATGAGAACCTTGCCTCTCCTTATATCATACAACACCGGTTCATTAACACCTATGAGCATTGTCTTAACTAGCAGTAACACTCACATCTTAGCAAGGATGTGTGTGTGTAGCCATCCTATACAACAATGAAACAGCTGGTGTACATAAAAACAAATAAACAATACTGCCATGAAGAGGTCTACATCATCAATACTTTTAGTGAAGAATTAAAAAAAAAGACTTTCTTAAGATTCAGCAAAATATAATTAAAGCAGTTTATTAATACATTATAGAGATTTAAGCACTCATTGAATATTGAAAGTTTCATTCATACACACTGTCAGCTTTAAAAATTACTTAAGTGGTCTAAGATTGTCTCAATTTAGTTCATTTAGTATTGATGAAAACACAAGTTTTTACCTGTTGTAAAATTTTATATAATAATCAGATCTAAAGGCAAATGAAAGCCCAAGTCCAACAAATGAAAATATCTGCTTTGAAAGAGAGATTCTGTCAAAATTTTTACCTTCAAAAGCAACATACTTCAAGTATACACATTGGTTACCATGGAATTGCCAACTTTCCATATTATTTCTAATTTTCCTTACCATAGAACCAAATTGTAATGTGTCAACATTCTTTCTTTTCCTTTCCCTTCTTTTCTTCAATGCAAAGCCCTATGCTGTACATTACAAGCTATAAATACCATTTACAAAATATGACAAACAAGGTCAATCTACAACAATCTCCACATGTAAACTACCAACCCCTACATGATGAGAAGTGCAACCCGTGGCAAGAAGAGAGCAGTGAGGAGAGAGCTGATAAGATTTACAGCATGATTATCGAGGATGTACGACCCACTGATTGGTATCACTCCCTCTTTAGGCCTTTCAACAATTTTTCCTTCTGAATCCATACCTGAAAAAGAGTAAAGCTGATATGGTACCCATAAGCATACACCAGGAGATTATCAATAACTGTACATACATAGATAATTTGCTATTTGTCTTACAGGTTCAGATACCTGAAACAGCACTTTACTACCTGCAGGCGATTCAGTTTTAGCCAGAATAAAATTATTTATCATATATTATATATATATATATATATATATATATATATATATATAAAATGTTTATTTCCACGGAAGTGTGAATGACAATTTATTAGTATATCATAATAAATTATTCTTCCATTGTTCTTTAATTATTATTATAAATCAGAAAATGCTCTTCTAATTTTAATGGTAAAAGTAGTAGATCATGAAGACCATGAATAAAATTAAAAGAATTAACATGATTTTTGTGAATACATTACATTTGCAGCAACCTCTGGGGATCCTAGCAGCAACCAGTTCACATCCTTAAAAATTATTTGAATTTCCAAATATGATATAACTAACTACTGTAGTTACAAAATGTTTATTCTCTTGGTGGCTTAAATCTTTCATGAAAAGCACCCTTTTGAGCAGATCATTCTGTTGTTGTTTCTGGAAAGAATCATGGTCAGTCAGGCAGTACAACATGCTATACTGGCCCCAACAGGATCTAAAAAAAATCAGAAATTTTAAGGTTTGCCACATAATCATCATAATGCAGCGGATTCCAATATTTTCACTGACCTGAGAACTGCATGGTAGCTCCAAGTATTGAATCAATAAGACTACCCATTAGGCCCCCAACAGCTCCAACGAAGATAATTGGCCACTGTGGTGGTGCAGAGATCATGACAGGGCTGGACACACACATCAACAGTGTTAGATAATGACCAATACCCACCACAAGTCCTCCCAGAAGGCTCACAACCAAACCAATGAAGGTGATCCCACCATTTGTGCCTGCAGAGAAAGCTTAATAGATTAACATATCTTTCAATACCCTCACTAATTTGCTACGAGAAGAGGTTAGAGTCTTTAAATATGCCAAACTAGAAGATAGAAGAAAGAGGCAATATGGTCACTACATACAAAATAGTAACAGGAATCGACAAAATTAATAGAAAAGAATCAATTGATAAGAAAGAACTTAAAGAAAAAAAAGGTCATAGATCTAAACTAACTAAACAAAGCTGCCGAAGAATTGTGAGAAAATTCCCTATTGCAAACATAGTAATTACCTAAGTGTAGTTACTTACAGGATGAGAACTACGCTCATGGTATTCCGTCTTCCCAGCACTCTTATCATATAATGCTTAGAAACTACTGACTGTTTTGGCCTTCACCACCCCTCTTACCTAAGTTGTTCCAACCATCTACCACTCTGTTTACAAAAGTGAATTTTCTTGTATTTCTTCAGTAGCTTTGTTTAGTTAGCTTAAGTCTATGCCCTCTTGTTCTTGAAGTTCCAGGTCTCAGAAATTCTTCCTAATCAATTTTATTGATTTCTGTTACTATTTTGTACATTGTAATCACATAGACTTTTTTCTTCTATCTTCTAATTTTCGCATATTTAATGTCTCTAATCTCTCTTCATAGTTCTTGTCCTTCAGTTCCAAGTCATTTAGTTGCATATCTTTGCACTTTTTTCAGTTTGTTGAGTGCTTCTTAAGATATGGGCAACATACAACTGCTGCATATTCCAGCTTTGGTCTAACAAAGGCTGTAAACAATTTCCTTATTATTACTTCACTTGTGACATTTCTTCAGTATGATACATTACCTCTGATTACTGCCCTCATTTTTCTGTCAAAGTTTTTCATCCATGTTAGAAGCCTATATGTCACTCCTCTAATATGTTCCAGTTTCCAGAACAATCTCTTATGTGGAACTCTATTGCAAGTCTTTTTAAGGTCCAGATAGATGCAGCCAACCTAACCATCTCTTTCGTGTAAAATTTCTGTGGCTCTATCACAGAAACTGAGTAAATTCATTACAAAGGATCTTCCAGATTGAAAACTATACTGTCTGTCTGTTTTTATATCATTTTTCTCCAGGTGTTCTACCCATTTAGTTTTAATTATTTCTAACAATATTTTGACTATTACACTTGTCAATGATACAGGTCTCTTATTGAGTGGGTCTTCACTGCTGCCACTTATGTAGATTGGAACTATGTTAGCCTTTCCCCACATATCTGCTAGGACTCCTGTACACAGGGATGCCTGAAAAATCAGTTGAAGTGTAATGCTGAACTCGGGTAAGATGAAGAGTGCTGGGAAGACAGGACGCCATAATCATAGCTCTCATCCTATAACTACACTTAAATAATTACACTAAGGTAATTACTCAATCAACTTGTACACAAGTACCGGTAGATACAGTACAGAGGTTTTAATTCACTGTTTATCACCAACAATAGCTATTCAAATTAGCAACACCAAAAACTATATTTAGTTATCCTGTATATTTTTTCTGGATATCGTAAATAATTTTTTATTAAATCATTCGGGTTTTAATAAATTTTCAGTTCCTGTAATAGAAGTTTGGACTTTTAACACTAACTGTACTAAACAAAACTTCAATTAAATGCTTAAAGCCATACACATCTATCTAATTATAATTGAATAAACAATAATTATTATCAAGGTAATGTAAGACAAATATTTTTCAACTCAACTGTCCTGAAAGATATTTTTTTACCCTCTCTAGCAGGAGATACTGCCATCTAAACATTTTAGTGCACGCGCACACACACACACAGTGACAGTCATGATGATATACAGGAAGCAACGTACCTCGTGGTACTGACCGCAGAGAAGTGATCAGAACAGGATCTCCAGTGCTTAACACTGTTCCAATCTCGGAGGCCCAGGTATCTCCATTGCAGCAAGATAAAGCTCCTGTGATGAAAAATGTAGCTTATTGTTTCAAATTATAATAAAGTAATACTGTACTTTCCTTGTACACTTCACACTGATAATGCTTAAAACTTGTGACCTTGTGAAAACTACCATCTTAAAGAATGCCTGCCCCTCAGCCCCAGTGGCTCTATTTCATTTATATAAAAGTTCATCCCAGCTAAGAGTTAGCATGAAGAAATCACTGAGACTAACTTCTTGCCCATGTCAGAGAAATTCAGATTCCTGAAATTAAATACAGTAGTTAATAACACAAGATAACATTTTTAAAGTCATAGAAGACTCTTCTAAGCATGCCTGAATGATGAGGAAATCATATCAATGGTGAACACCCCCCCACCCCCACCCAAAATCGCAAGGCTGAGGAAGCAGAAAACTGATCAGGTAAAAATCTAAAACACTCATGGGGGTGTAGTTGACCAAGCCTCGTCACATCTCTTATGGAGCTTGAATACTGTACACTACATGTCATGTTCTTGGACCCATCAAAGGCTCCTCAAAAGATCCTGCAACATCAGAATTTTAAACTAGCACTTAAGGAGATTATGTCTCAAAGTAGAAGATACCTACTACCAGCTTTCAACCTCCATCAGCAATATGTAATACAGTACTACACACTCCACACCACACCAAATTCTTAAGCAGAACAGCAGTACAGCTGTTTGGTGAGTATAATACTAATTTTGAGTTAATCGTCAAACTCGTCTATTTGATTGGGTCCCCAAAATTTACTGGGCCTAGTCAATTTCTCAAGCTCCCACATTCTCATTGTGCTGGAAAATGCTGTACATCAGTGACTTGCATCTTTGATGTACAAGAAATATCTTTCCTATACAATACAGTATATGAAAAATTATCTTAAAAATGGAGGGGAAACAAAACTTAACACACCTAAAATGGCTAAACTAAGCCAGGAACATCGGTAATTGTAGACAAGGTCAATTGGGTGTTCTCCAATGCCACAATCAATCATGTAGAACAATGCCATCAGACTTGCCACTCCTCCATTGCATACTACTTGCACCCAATTGCGTTCACCACCTACAAATAAATAATTCAAGTACACACTCAAAATTATTTTTAAAATACAGAGCTGTACAGTATTTACATTTTTATTCTTTAAATGATTTCTTTTACCAGTTAAGCATATACAGTACATCAAGTAAATCACCATTCCACTTACCCTCCTTGAAGTTATCCTCAAGTTTTCTTTTCTTGGCAGATTTAAATTTAGTAGCTCTTGAGGACGAGACAAAGAACACGAGAAGGTTCATGAAGAAGACATAGCTCCCTAACGTCAGCAGAAACCCTACCACAAGACCTGAGGGCAAAGGAACCGATCTCTTCTGGCTCTTTCTCAACAAGGCAAAGTAAAATTCAGTAGTCTAAAATAAAAATACAATGTTTTTCTTAAAAAATATTAATCAGCGCTATAGCATTATACCCATCCAAACTTCACTCATTTCAGAGGCCAGCACAATAAACATACAGGAGGCCCAAGATTTGTGCAGTAGGTTGCAAGTATTGGATTATATAGGTAAGGACAAACTAAATTTTGAAATGTGCAGGGGAACTTTAAAGTTATGCAGGTTACTAATCAACTAGTCTAACATATCCAAAGTAGTAATTTGAATTCCAACACACTATATTCTTGTTTTAAAATATTTTGGGGGTAATAGTATATTTATGCATCACTGTATATCTCAAGTATTCTAGAGTTCATTATTTACCTGAAATTTACCTGAGGGCTACCATCTCTAATGGTCTCAATGTAGACAGGTAGCCATCTAAAATTGATGATTAAAAATGAGAAAAAGTGAACTTTTGGAGTTCTCTGAAATTTAAACCAATTTTTTTATATATATAGTAGAGTACTGTACAGTACTGTACTTATATAGTTTTAAATAAGAGTTGCAAATTTTTTTATTTTAAATAAGAGTTGCAAATTTTTTTATTTGTATGGTTCCAGCATCAATACCAGTGCAAATTGAGGGCTACTTGTATTGGTACTGTAAATTACAAAAATATTAACAGTAAAACCTTATAAATTAATTTCTGCCAAGTGATATTTTAAACAATATCACATGCTGAAATACCGTACAATGAAAAATATGAGTAGCAGGGCTTGCAATTATACAGTATTTTTTGTGCATGTGTTTTTGTCATGGTCTATGACTTCTTCCTCATTAGGCATTATTCAATCTGTAATAACCATCACTTACCAGACACAGCACCACTGAAAGACAACGAGCGTCGCCGAAGACCCCACCAAGCTAGAAGTATGGGTAACAAAGTGGCACTCAGCCACCGAGCAGGTTCAACTACCTCAACTGCAAGAGAAATTGAATATGTAATTAAATTCAACATTTATTAAAAAATACATACTGCGTAAGATATTGAACCTAAACTTACCTGATGGCCACCAACTCTCTAGTGGCCAAAGGATTTTTTCCAGTTGAATTCTGAAATTTACCTCAATTTACCTGAGGGCCACCAACACTAGTGGCCTTGACGAGAGCAGGAAAACGAAGTACAGTACAGCAGTATAGTACAGTGATCCCTCGTAAATCTAGACCACCATGTAACAGATACTGTACCTCTAGGCAGTGGTTCAAATCTGCCCACTATATTTCCTATCTGAAATTTGGATTTAAAAAAAAAATTGTGTTATAAACTCATTTATATATATACCGTACTGTGCAGTGTAAACAGAGACCAGTTTAACCTGGTTGTTAAATGATTTGATGAGTCGTAATCCGGGGAAAATTAGGATTAAGGACTTTACTGAAACACTATGCGTTTAGCAGTTCCCATGGCGTAGTGGTAAAACACTCCCCCTGGTGCTTCGCAAGCTCATTGGCCTGGGTTCGTATCCTGGCTGGGGAGGATTTACTGGGTGCCAATCCTTAACTGTAGCCTCTGTTCACCCAGCAGTGAAAGAGTACTTGATTGTTAAACGATTTGGCGGGTCGTAATCTGGGGAAAATTAGGATTAAGGACTTGCCCAAAATGCTATGCATTTCTTCTGTATAAGAATGTAAGAACTCCTGTATAGTATAAAGTATATAAATAAAATAAAAATGTGTGCTAGTGGTTTTACAAGAATGTTAGTACAGGTACTTCTATATATATAAATACAGAGGTGTATATATATATAAAAAAATAATAAAATACAAAATTGTATTGTTTAAAATTATTTATCAGTACTGTAGTATTATTATTGTTTGAAATCAATCAGTTATGTGTGGGGGAGTTTCTAATGTGACCCACTTTAAACTTTTTACTAAATACATTTTGTATTGTTCTAATCAAATGAATTATTAATGAATTATTAAATGAATAGTACTCATTTAATGAATGAATTATTAAAAATAATATTTCAAAAGATGGGGTAGCGGGTCGGGGGGAGGCGACGACCCTCGCCTCAAGCGACCCCACCAGCCTGACTGTGTCAACCATCTCGCCTTTGTCTTGCTCTAATGTTAAATGTCTCAGCCTCCCTGATCACACGGAGGCCACCATCACCTCACCATCTTCATCTACATATGGCAGGAACACGGAGCGAGTGCCAGCTGGTCACACCTGTGGCATCCACCTTATACACACGCCACATATTGTCGTTAACACGTGCATAAACAAATGATGTGACGAACATAAATAAGTTGTTTTAGCATCATTTGTAAACATATAAATGTGCAACAGTGTTAATGCCTTTTTCTTGCATATGTATAAAACCCTGAGTGGGCAATATCACTTACTTCCAAGAGTCGAGGATATGAAGGCATTGGAGAGCCACATTATCATTGATATCGGCAAGGTAAAGAGAAACAGAAGTAAGAATCCCTGCCGCATGGTTGAGCGAGAGAGAGTGCATTTATAGAAGAGGAGCAGGACGAGCGACTACTCCCCTGCCTGGCTCTCCTACGACTGGCTGACCAGCTGACCCGACTCCAGCTGGGGACGAGACCATGCCGCAGCCTCCCTTATTATGATCTTTAACATCTCATGCTGTCTAGTAATCCTTTCTAATCACTGTATGTCGTTTTAGATTTAGCCTACTCGGAAATAAAATTTCAATATAGCACGGGCAATGGTGAGCCTGTAACCCTAGTGACTATTTATTTATTTATTTATTTATTTATACAAGAAGGTACACTGGGTTTATGAGAGTACATAGCATTCATGTTTTTACATAAGAATATAAGAACACAAGAACAAAGGCAACTGCAGAAGGCCTCTTGGCCCATACGAGTTAGTTTAGTTCATTTATTATGCACCCCATACCCATCTTGTGGGCGGTAGTGGAAAGGGTTACAGAGGCACATAATGGGCTCAGGGACTGAACCCCACAATTCATTTAGCTAAGCAAGTCACAATCTTGATGAGCTAGTTACAAAATTCCATATAAGTCATCACATCATCATTGGGCTCGAGATCGACCACAAGTACAGTTTCTAAATTAATAAGCAACTGACATATGTGGAGAGCTAGTGTCACAATTTATATGTTTGTCCTGCACACCACCCCCCCACCTCATCCAGCCCATACGAGGCAGCTCCTATTTACAACCACCCAATCCCACTCATATACATGTCACATCCACGTTTGAAACAATCAAGGGACCCCACCTCTACCACGCCACGTGGAAACTGGTTCCGCAAATCAACACCCCTGTTACCGTAACAAGTATTTACCCAAGTCTTTCCGATTTAAGACTATTTACCCAGTCTTTTTTTTTACATTCTTGTAAAGCCACTAACACGCCTAGCGTTTCGGGCAGGTCCTTAATTTAAACAGATAATGTCATGCAAGACATTGCATGTGAGGCATAGCAACCTACGCCACAACTACCAAATTCCATTACAGCACATTGAAGAAGAAAAGGACCTTGGAGTCACAATCCACCACTCACTGAAAGTTGCACAACAGGTGGGAGCAGCAGTCAAAAAACTAACCAGACCCCTTGTAATAATCAAGCGTACCTCAGACTTTAAGGAATGGAAGGTAGTGATTCAATTTTATAAATCTCTGGTGCGGCCCCCATTTGGATAACTATATCCAAACATGGAGACCCCATCTTCAGAAGGACATAGCTGTTTTGGAAAAAGTGCAGCACCGGGCAACAAAAATCATGCCAGAGCTATGTCATCTCTCATATCAGGAACGGTTGAGGGCCACAGAGCTAACAACACTGCAAACCAGGCATGACAGGACAGATCTCATTAAAAAAGTTAGAATACTGAACAATTTGGTAGAGTAATAAATATGGTAGACAACGGCTCGCAAAGCTCCTCTTTGCATTCTTTAATTAAGCACCAAGGGAGCCGGCCGGCCGAGCGGACAGCACGCTGGCACGTGATCCTGTGGTCCCGGGTTCGATCCCGGGCGCCGGCGAGAAACAATGGGCAGAGTTTCTTTCACCCTATGCCCCTGTTGCCTAGCAGTAAATAGGTACCTGGGAGTTAGTCAGCTGTCACGGGCTGCTTCCTGGGGGTGGAGGCCTGGTCGAGGACCGGGCCGCTGGGACACTAAAGCCCCGAAATCAACTCAAGATAACCTCAATATAACCCTGGCAAACACTTCGTCCGGCCCTGCTGGGGATTTGTTTGGCTTGAGTTTTACTATTTGTTTAATAACGTCTTCCCTGGTAACTGCTAAACTAGTCAACCTGTCCTCTTCCCCACCAACATAGACTTGTTCGGCTGAAGGCATTATGTTAAGTTCCTCTTTAGTAAATACAGATAAAATATTTATTTAAAATATTACTCATCTCTTCGTCATTATCAATTATCTGACCTGTCTCAGTTTTAAATGGACCTATCCTTTCCCTAATTTTTGTTCGATATAACTGAAAAAACCTTAAGGATTTGTTTTTGCTTGCCCTGCTATACGAACTTCATAGTTGACCTTTCCACCCAACTTTTCAATCTATTGCATCCAAAAAAATTCCTAGGCTATTAAAATCTGCGTTTTCGGAAATCTGACTAACAATCAGAAACTCATTCATTGCTGAGTGAACAGAGGCTACAGGTAAGGATTGGTGCCTAGTCAATCCTCCCCCGGCTAGGATACGAACCCATGCCACATCAATCTATGACGAAGATTATCTAACATACACGGGTATATAACTTCGGCTCCACAAAGTAAACCTTCCAAGCCTCACGTCTTTATAGTAGTCACATACAGCCTAGTCATTCACCAAATCACTCAGATCATAGTAATGTAACTCATATATTTATACATATTTCTGTTTTATAAAAACTTAGTGATATTCGTTACATCTTCCAGATTAGTTGCCATGGCATTATAAAAAATTCGCACTCAACGTGATCTGAATATTATTAAATTAATACTGACATGGTGGCAAGGAATGTGTGTCACCAGTCAGCAATATATGTAACTAACTTTCCACAAGCATAAATTAGTTAGTGTTTTGTACTCCAGTTATTAAACCCATCATGCTTTAAAAAATACTGATATGTATATTAATCTATGTAACTATAGCTGATCAAGATTAACTTGCTTGTAGCTGTGAGAGCTTTTGCTCTGCCACTCACCCAGGATGGGTATGGGGTGCACAGTAAATGAACTAGACTAAAACTCTGAAGGATCATATATAATTATAATATAAGTCTTAATATAAAGTAAAGAGACGACGACGTTTCTTCTTAAATTTCTAGTGTGTGGTTTGGTCAACATTTTCAGCCACGTTATTGTGACTTTTCATCTGCATAATATAACTACACCAGTTGTAGTTTTCCTAACATCTCAATCTTAATTGTCAAATCTTACAAACTAATTAACTTGATATTAATGTTTAGAAATGCAGCAATGGAGACGTACTTCGGCCGTGTGTGGTCTTTACAGCGAGTGATCACGACTACGTGACTCCGCATCCTTCCAAGAGATGTCTTCAAGGTGCACGCTACAACTTAGTACGGTGAAAGTCATACAGGGGTTGCAGCCCGTCCTCCTAAGAAACTGTCCGCTCGGGAGCCGGTCGGCCGAGCGGACAGCACGCTGGACTTGTGATCCTGTGGTCCTGGGTTCGATCCCAGGCGCCGGCGAGAAACAATGGGCAGAGTTTCTTTCACCCTATGCCCCTGTTACTAGCAGTAAAATAGGTACCTGGGTTTTATAGTCAGCTGTCACGGGCTGCTTTCTGGGGTGAAGGCTTGGTCGAGGACCGGGCCGCTGGGACACTAAAGCCCCGAAATCATTTCAAGATAACCTACCAGAGACTGCAAAACAGAAAACAGAACAGTATGTCAATTTCGTGAGCCGCTACCATTTTCTTATACGACAATTATTTGCCTTATATATAGGTAAAGTATGGGTCAAAATGCGACCCCTCTGTGGGAGAACGGGTCACCAACTAATCTTACCATGTAAGTAATCTTACTTACTACTATATATTTAGACCTAATTTTCAGGAGGATATAGCTGCTCTATAGAAGGTGCAACACCGGGCAACAAAAGTCATTCCAGAGCTAAGTCATCTCTCGTATCAGGAACGCTTGAAGTCCGCAGGGCAAACAACACTGCTAACCAGGTATGACAGTGCGGATCTCTCGTGGTCCGTAGAATTAACCAAATCAGCCTAACATTACCTAAATAATGAATAGGCAGGCACAGATGATGGGCTGACATCAGATGATGGGGAAGGCACAACAGGTGGGCCGCCATTTGGTGGTGGGAAAGTACAACAGGTGATGGGAAGGCACAACAGGTGGGTTAAGTTATAGTGCTGGTACTTTAAAAAAAAAAAAGTATAAAAGTTATTTGGGCCATTTGTTTCCCTGTGAGGTAGAAGCGTGTGTCTTATCGAGGTAGTCTGGTGCAAATCCAGAGTTATGAGTTATGAGCTCGCACAAAAATGTTTGCTTTTTCGTGCTCTCACTTTTCATACATCTAGTTGTGAATGAACTTGAAATACATTTCCCAGTAATATATGTATCTACTGTAATTACCAGTTCTTAAACATGGCAAATATAAGCACAATAATTAACAAACAAGATGTGTCATCAATATTTCAATGAGTAACAATGAGGCAACACATCATGTCTTGAAGGTTGCATTCAATTCAATAAAAGGCAAATGAGGGCTTCTTAATGAATTATATTCAATCTTAACCCAAGTTTATAACAAAGCAAAGCTGCTTTATTTAATACTAAACCACAGTGGGATAATTTATTACCTGCATGATAAAGACTCTTCACTACTTGTATTAAATCACACCATAAAAAATCTAATAAATAACTATGTTGACAAAGATTGCATTTATCCCAAAATCTGCAAAAATAGATTAAAAACCCTACTTGGTCTCCATGTATTTAATCCCTTCTACACAGATTCAGCACAACACAGCATGGCCTTCACCATGCAGTTATATACGTGAGGCTGCATGTCTCCTGCAATATTTAGCTCACATTAAAATGAGACAAATCAAAATTATGAACAGTATTAAATTTTAGTAGCATGCACTTGATATATCAAATGCTCAGCCATCCTCCTATGTTAGTATGAAATGACAAAACTAATATATATTAGACACATTGATACATTTTCCAAAGATAGCATACCTTAGTTTCAGCCTAAAGCAGTTCATTTTCTAATTAAAGAATTTTGATTAAAGCTGTGAAAAGTAAATGTGAACAGCTATGCAAGCAGTGAAAGGACAATACCAATCATTACTTAGATAATACAATTTAACGAAAAAATAATCTACCCAATAGACCTAGGAAAGCATTATGTTTATTTATACTGTACCTAGTCCTAATTTAAGTGTAGTACACAATGTGGCATATATGGTGATGCCAAAGTGTCTCAAGGGTACACCACATGGACATACGAGAACATTTACAATGTTTGTTCACATTATTATTCAGATTTATAAGAAGGATATACATTTTAAATACCGGCAATTATTTTGATTAATAGGAGAAAAAATTAAGCAGTTTGATACGGTCATGTTCTCCACTGGTCATTCTCTACTGTTTGTTCTCAACTGTTTGCTCTTCACTGGTGATTGTTCTCATGGAAAACTTTATGAAACGCTTATATTTTAACAAATCTAAGCTTTTGAAATATATTTAATTAACCTATTAAAAAAAATTGTGCAATAAAATCAACTTTCATTTAAAGTATACAGGTATTAGATAACTCATTATATTTGCAACAATAACGTTTAAATTATAACAACAACCAGTGTTTACCACTTCTCAATAGTGTAACATTAAGTTTATATGAACTGGGTATCTTAATGCTCTGAGACAGTGTAACCTAAAACGCTAGCCAGAATTCAGTCAAATACTAATAATATGCTAGATAAAAATGAAATATCTAGGTGTACTGTTCAATCTCTAAAAATGTAAATATTTTGCAAAACCTACAAAATTAAAATGTATAACATAAGCAGACCCATTAACTGATTACAGTGTTTAAACTGCGATGTACCACTATTATGGTACACACTACAATTAAAAAACATTCATGTTCTATTTCTTGCACATCTTAAAAATGGTACAGTATGGCACTATAATAATAATAATTTTTGTTATTACTTTCACAAACAAAAATGACTTAACCAGCAAACACAACATATCCTGGAATATTGGAAACGTGTACCAACAGTATTTCAAAATCACCATTCATTTAAATTTCACAACAAGGATGAAGCTGACATGAAAAAATCTTTAATCCTAATTGGAATGCAATAGCTCCCATAAAGAATGCAAAAAAGCTCCCATAAAGAGGTTAAACATTAAGAACATATTCATTGTTCTAACTCCATGTGCAAGGGATTAAATACAATATACAGTAAATAACAAAAATCATGGAAAAATGGCAAATAAAAATGCACACATTAAAGGTATTCAAAAGTGAACAGCTATTTTCACCATGCATTACACTAAGTAAGATGCTGAAATGTGGAACGCAAAACGGTGCACGTGTTCATACCCAGCACTAGCAAAAACTTGGTCAGTATCTGGATGAAAACAAGTCTAATTTGCAGTGTTATATGCTGTTACATATCACTATGACAAACTGACACCCAAACAAAAGAATAACAGACTAGTGGCTCATTTTACTCCAGTAATTCTGGTAGTACACTGGAGAGTAAAGAACTAGGTTCATGTCATAAGGAATTTCAGAATAGACATTTCATTTTGCATGATTTAGAATGGGATCCTTCAATTTTGTTTAGCTTTTAAAAAAGCTGTAGTAGTGTCGAGATTAGCCTTTAACAACATATATTACATATTTGAAATAAATAATAAGAAAGCATTTACTCTTCCCATTTAACTGTAGTACCTTAGGGAGGAAAAGTTTTCATTTCACAGCCGTAATATATATATATATATATACTGTATATACGTACAATACATTTAAATCTACATTCTAGTAAATGGTTCAACTTTCACCAAATATATGTTCAATCACTAGGAAAAACAATGGTACAAAGAAAAGTATTTCACCACTGGTATGAACTATAAATTAATCAGATGATTCTACTGTAATCTCAAGCCATAAATGTCTGTGGTATATAAATATTTAAAAAAGCATTTCAAGAAATATAAAATCTGAACATATTCCCAAAATATTGAATTGCTTTCTAAACTCCACCCATGAACAATGAAATTATCACCAATAAAATTCATAAGTTTATAAATCATGGGCACAAGGTATTGTGTTATTCTAATTTCCCTAGCTGGTTTTATAGATTATGAAATGAAGGGACAACCAAAAATTATTCACCTTAAAAAAGTCCACCGATATCTTGATTTTTTACTGTCACATATTGGTAGCAAGAAAGTGATAATTGTTAGTTATGTCACCAAATATTCTCATTTGATGACGCACATTATTTAAACTCCACTGATCCTCACAGACCACTTCTATGCACTCTACATTACTGTACTTATTTACGTCTCGCAAGCCACTGCTGCTTGTGAGGCCCAGCATGATCTTTGCCATTAACATTCAGTTCTTCATTGGAAACATTTGTATAACAAAAAATCTACAATAAATATGCAGTATATTTTATTTTGAGAATAATTTAAGGTTTTTGCATTAACACTCAATGTGGCATAGAAAAACAAAAATAAGTACAAATATACTTCTGGATATTATAATCAGTATTTATATACAATCTATACTGTATTTACAATCAAATATTATTTAGATAGTTGCATCTGATTTTATAATTTTCATTAATAAAATATTCTAGTAATATTATGTGACAAAATGTGCTATACTGTATTATTTGATATCAAATACACATCACATTTAAAATACAATTCAAATTATAAGATACTGTATGCATATTAACAGTAAGGCTATATAATGAGCTAAGTCAAAGACATAGAGCATCTCAGTTGTAAATTACTCTCAAACCCTAGTGTTTACTATTCAAGTCAAAGTCTGCCATATGAAATTGTATTTGTGGTGATATTTTCATAATTTCCTTAAATCATACTTGAACATGAGTTTTTCCAAAGACTAAGATATTCTTTAAACAATCAGAATCATAGTACACATATTCAAGAATGGGATTTGTATAATACAAAAAGCAGGTTTCAAAGCATAAAATGGGTAAAAGTAAATATTGTGTTAACTACTCTGGATAGTTTTAGTAATGAACAAAAATCATCACCATTGCTCTATTTCTAATGTATAAAGTCTGCAAATGTCTGCATTCTTTTTCACATGTATTTTACTTGCGTCAGATACACTAGGAATACAAATTAGATGTTGATTACATTTTTTGTCAATTCCATTATAATAACTGTACTGGTAATCATTCTCAAAATGCTCAAGCATGATTTTTATATGACTAGAGGAAATGGTTCACTGTAACCATACCTTATTTCTGGAGGAAACAAAGTGTTTAAAATAGATATAAATATAAACCCTAAAGCCACATTGGTTTAACAGGATTTAAGATGAAGCCATGTGCTTGGACAGATGGCCATTCAGTTCTTAAACATTTAGTTTTCTTCTATTTTTACTACCACAATGAAGCATAAAAATGTCTATGGTAAGTCTTTAACTGAGGATGAATCATTGAAATAGCTTCTCCTCATTCCCTCCTCTCCTCTTGGAAGATAGGTACAAAGAAAACATTAAGCACTTAAGAACATTTATATGCAAACTTAAGATAAATATGAATCAATGGGAATAACAACAAACATGACCAGCTTAGTGTTTGTCACACAATTACAATATTTATAAGAAAAATCTATAATATACCTGGTACCATTTGCAGCAATTATTCTAGTTACCAAAACAAGGTTCCAAGAAGCCTATATATATAAGGTGCAAACTTTTTAAAACCAAAGAGACCTAAAATATTTTATTCATGAAACATGATAATTTAACAATAGTTAATATATTTGACTCGTATCATTGTATTTTGGAATTGAGTAACTGTCTTATGATCAAATCAGAAAAGCATAATTTATCATTCAAGTATTCCATAGTTTACAATAAGACCAAAGAATCCCAAATTAAATTTTTGAATATCATATCCTTATTTTAATGAATAAAGACTGTGCAGGTAAATGATAAATGACCTTTTCTGCAAATTTTAATTTTCAAAACAATTTTCCCATATTCCAGATTTGTCTTCCTCTTGATCAGCACAAACAGCTTCATAAACTGTGCTGGTATTATATAGTCTTAGCATAAGACTATCATATTGTATTTTAAGACTATCATATCATATTGTATATATACTCTTCTTAGCATAAGACTATGCAGTGGGAATATATTCTGGGTAGCTACATTTGAATGATTATATTTAAGGTTGTGTATGATTGGGTAACTAAAATATTTTAGTATCTCTTGCATTACATTGACTAATAATGAGACTTCACATCAAAAATCTTAAACTTCTGGTACTTGTCCTGGTAAGAATAATCAGTGCTTGGGTATAATATATACTCTTAAGAGAAGGAAGAGTAAAGCTTATGTGAGAGAAGCTCTCAGTGAAGAAGAAGAATACAATTTAGAAAATAAGCTTTCCACTAATTGTATTATCTCTTCACAACTTGGAAGGTTACAGGTCTGTTTTTGCCCATTCAAAAACAGATTGCATACTATTCAAATAACTAGATCAAGAGTCTGTTATAGCAGTTCTGAAGAATTCAGAAGCAGAGTATAACATAACTGCTATGAAATACATTATTGTAGTTATCCTGGGTATCTAATTCTATGAATATTTCAGCACAACTCTTGGATTCAGAGCAGCCTTTCAGTCACCACCCAGGCTTCATTATAAATAAACATTGCTTATACTGTATCTCTAATGAATATATATAAATATACTATTTTAATGAATGCAATAGAAGACAATTTTAAAGTACACTTACAAACACGTCCTCATGGGTATATGCATCCAGATACACAGTATAGTCGGGCAAAAACATTACTAGTGGTATAAATATGAAAATATAAAACAAAAACATGTATAATATACTAGGTAACACACAACCATGAACACATGAGACAAGGACCGTAGAGCCTCACCAGAATATACAAGCATGAGCATGTGCCAGAGATGTTAATCCTCCCAAGAACATACTAGGAAGGGGGGGGGGGGAGAACAAATTATCACTGATCTTGAGAACACACAAGCATAGATACATGCACTCAGTGATCCTTACAAGAGAACACTAGTATGGGCATATGCATTATATTGATCTTTACAAAAGAACACGTGCATCAAATTGATATTCACAAGAGAACACATTAATCCTCACAGGAGAACACATACATCATACTGGTCCTTTCGATAGAACATACGCACAACACATGCGTTACACTGATCCTCATGAAAGAGCACAAGCGTAATCACATGACTCGTATTAAGCCTCACGTAAGCACACAAGCATGGAGACATGCATTATACTAATCCTTGATATGATTCACAAGCAGGAACATGTGCATGAGATACAGTACTGATACATATGGGAACACGAACACATACTTGTTAAGTGCACTGAGTGAACAGCTTGAGGGAAATTTCAACGTAAATGAATCAACAACATAATTTTTGGTCTGCATATTTCCACATAATTAAAAAAATACTGATAGTGATTAGTCTTTCACAACCCTTTGAAAATTAACTGTTTTGTAAATTACACTGCTAATCTTAATTGACAACAAAAAATTACTGATACTGAGATAACTTTCCAATAATGCTTAAGAAATCCTTATACAACACAAAATTAGAAATAATTACAGTATTTTAATTCTATGAAATCTTATCCGCAGATTCAATTTTCATTTGAACACAACAAAATTTCTTTAGATAAGTTTCATTGCTGTATATACATACATTAAAACTGCCCCAGTCAGGACATTTGCTTACTTCTTCCACATAACAATAGCTTGACATTAGACAGTGTAATCCCAGCAAACAATGTTCTCACACACTACTAAAACATCACAGCTCATGTAATTCCATTTTTCATGTGTTGAAAATTAGATATTTGTCTTGCCAACTAGCACATTCAAGTTTATACAATATAGGTATCACCACTTGATTCACCCATAATGGAATAATAATAATAATATTACTTACATTTTCTTCCAGTTCTTTGCCAATATGTTTGCAAACAAAAACAAAATAAATAGACAGATCTACTGCCAAACTTTTGGTTCTCAGAGACCCATACTGAAGGATCACAATTACATTTTATATTCTTTCATTTTACTTAACCATGAGCTAATTATCTGGATTTTTTTTATCCATTTCGTTCTTCACTTGTAACAAAATATTTTCCGTTTTCTTATAAGATATGTGTCATTAGGAGTAGACTGCAAGTGTTCACAGATCATGACCACAAGAGCCAGGCACAGTGTTTACAGATCACAAGGACAAGAGTTAGTCACAGCTAAAGTGTTCACAGATCATGACTACAAGATCCAGACACAGCCACAGTGCTCACTCTTCACTCTTCATAACCACAAGAGCTCTCCACAGTTTGCATAGGTCATGACCACACGAGCTAGCTACATTATTCACTGATCATGATCATGAGAGCTCTCCGCAGAGTTCACACATGACCATGAGAACTAGCCGCAGAGTTCACGCATCATGACTGTGAGAACTAGCAGCAGAGTTCACACATCATGGCCATGAGAGCTAGCTGCAGAGTTCACACATCATAACCATGAGAGCTAGTCAGTGTTCCAGCTCATGACCACAAGAACTAGCCACAGAGTTCACAGTTCATGACCACGAGAGCCAGCCACAGACACTCGGGTTGGCACACTTCCTGAAGAGCCCAGACCCAAATCACCATCATATACTGGGTTGGATACACTCTGGAAAAAGACAAATATAGGTACTGTACTTCGTTATATATGCCTCTTCCTTTTACAAAATTTTAGCCATACATATCAAATTACAGGCATTATTTGAAGGTTGTATAAAAATACTAAATAATAAATGATAGCATTATGCAAAAAATACAACATGTGATGATCATTTGCCATTAAAAATAAGAAACAAAAGATAAATGAATCAAGCATAGGACACAAAAGAAGTATAGAAGCATAGTGACAACTTGTCAACCTGTCGAACTGAAGTGTGAAATGCAGTATATCCCTGGACAAGTGTATTCTGAAAAGGACATCAAAAGGCATACGGGTTAAAAACATTTGCACCTTAATGATTTTTCAATCATTTGCAAACGCTCTGGTTTGGTGAAGATAAAAAAAAAAAAAATAAGCCGCAAATGAAAACAAAACACAGAACATCAAAGACATCCAACCAGTGCAATGAAGACAGGCAATAGCTGCTTTGTTAAGCATTTGGTTTGCAATTATTTTAGGTGCAATTTTTGTATACAGTATATGTACTGAATTCACAACAAATGTAACAATCCACGAACATTGTAAACAATGCAACAACATACATACGACCTCCTGTGGGACATGGCCATGTTTTAGAATAAAACATTAATTTAAAATGTTTAAATACTGGTATTACATTAAAATGACGTAAACATTATGCCTAATTTGCACAGCTTAATTATGCTCAATTTGAATTTTGGTTTGTTGCACAGTAAATGAAGTTCCTCCAGACACCCGGAGGATGGTAGTATGATAATAGTGCAACAGATCCAAAATGTTCAAACCAAATGCCTGCTTGCCATGTCACATACCAGTCTGGTCGTTCAGTAGTTAGTAGTTCCATGGTGGTGGTGGTGGTGGTAGTAGTAGTAGTAGTAGTAGTTAGTAGTGGTGGTGGTGGTGATTGGTGAACAGGGTCGTTAGTTACATGAAATTCTGGGCGTCAATACTGAGTTGGCTACGATTATCTGCAGAGTCACGCTCCCGCTTTAGTATCCAAGAACCAGAGCCGATGGGTCCGTCCGTAAGTTATCATGGAACAAAAATACAAAAAAAGAAAGAAACAAAATAAGCATGAAAATAAGAGCAAAAGGAAAGAGATGGCACTAGCTACAAAATGTTAGATTTTCTAGCTGAGGACATTACTGATGCTGAACAATACAAAGATTAAGTAGGAACTGCAATTTTGAAACAATCTTGCAGACACTGACAAAATTCTAGAAAATAAATAAATGCCACAATATTATGTAAAGACAGTACCTTATAATATAATTAGAGTATAACAATAATGGAAGCTGGTTACCATTATTTAAAGTTTACAATGTCTAAAGTTCCATACTAACTCTACTGACTTTTTTTGAAGGGGAAAACAAAAATTGTCATTGTTTAGCAATTACTGTCAATCATACAGCAAAGAAATCTACAGACAATCGTTAAAGGGCATAATCACCTTCATTATCTTATTACTACTGTACCGCATTTTGATAAAACTGTACTGCACTGTCCACAAACTTTCGCTTCCCGATCAGAAGACACAGTACTACAGCCATTTATCGAAGCAGAATGATTGAAATACTATGCCTCACCCAATGATGGTAAAGCATTTCTTGTACAAGACTCAAGATCACTAATTTCTGATAAATGTAATCAAAATTAATGTTATGGAAGGATATAAAGCATCACAGACTGCAAATGAGTACTGTACTATATAAACTTTTGATGTATCGCTAAGCAGGTGGCGAAAGGTGTATCTGGTAGGATGTAAAAAACCAGACACATTTTTCTTCAAGTTCCCCAACGGAAAAGAAACACCAAATACAGTCTACTGTACTTTTGTTTCTGACATTTGGATAATTTATTATAGAACATTAAAAGCACCTATAAATTAAGACAGGTATGCCGAGTAAATACTGTGCAGTACTTAATACAAAATTAAAGTCATAGGTTGGCCTATGGCCTCGACTCCCAATCAAGGATCCCAATTTTAATCTGCGGGTAGGACAAAAATGGTTGGGCACATTTTCTTTCACCCAGCAATATATAAGTACTGGGAGTTAGGCTACTGTTGCGCAAGGCATCCTGGGAAAGGACAGTAGGGGGACCTTGGTAAGCCATGTGCTTCCTGTCACTGACGACAGGAATTGTATGATGACCTACCCGAGGGAGTGAAGTTGCACGTGTCAATGTTTACAGATGATGCATAGCTAGTTAGGAAAGTAAAAACCGAGGACTGTAGAGTACTGCAGGAAGAACTTCGCAAACTCTAGGAGTGAGCAATCAAATACCCATTAGCTGTCAAAGTTCTCACTTATACAGTAACCATACTGTGAACTATAACACAAGAACCTCTTCATTGCTTCATAACAAATAATCCTTCCTTCACCTTATTCTTTCTCACTATTGTTCTTATAACATTTACAAAATTTCATTGTTCTCTTTAATAGTTGTACTTAAAAAATCTAGCACATTAATTTCAGGTAACCTTTAGAGGCGTTTATCTCTTGACCACCATGAGAGGTTGGCCAGTTATGCTTCTCACTTTTTGAGGGAGTGTTGACAATTCTTGGGCCCTTAATGATAGAATTCTCTCTTAGTTTACCTACTGCACCTCTGCTTTTTTTATGAGGCAATTTTGCATTTCCTGCCATGCCTCCTGGTCTCATGTGGTGCTATTTCCGTGTTCAGATTTAAAACCAATCCCTCTAATATTTTCCCCAAATGCAAATTATTATGTATCTTTTCCACCTGCACCCTAGGAAATACAGAATTAAAAATTGTTAGTGGTTCTAATAATTTAGATTTTATTGACTAGATTTAGGCAGTAAAAGCTATTTCCTCGTTCTCCAGGTCAGCAATTTCTCCAGCTTTGAATGGGATTGTTATTGTGGAGCAATATTCCTAGAGAGCAGTAGTGTCTTAAAAAGTATCATTGGTATGGCATCTTTTGCTTGAAAGGGTTGTTATCCAACCTGTCTCTTGCAGCAATGACAGCTACTTTATTTTACTGTGTTCATTAAATGTTAAATCTTCCAACATTACTACTACCAAATCTTTTACTGTATATTTCTTTTTGGTTCTATAGTGTGATTTGACTGCAGTTTTATATATGGCTTCCATTTTTATATTTTCTGTGGCCTATTGAAAGGCCTGATTTACATCAGTTTGGTTCTTTTCTGTGTCCTCTATAGCAGGCATGTCAAACTGAGGGTCCCCAGAGAGCCATATGGGTCACATTTATGTTATCATGAGGGCCACACATGACAACTAATTGAAGTCATTTAATACAAATTATTGCAGAATATTTTTTTCTATTTTATTATATTATATACCAAATTACAGTACCCTTTTTGCAGGCTGAATGTGTGCTTGCAAAAGGTCACATGTTAAACATGCCTGCTCTATAGTGTCTACTCTCATCAACATCCTAGCATTACCTGCAAAGGATGATACGGTCCTAGAGTTTATCTCGTCTATACCTGATACAATGAGAAAAAGAACTGGATCAAGCACAATACCTTGGGGGACTGAACTTTCCACAGTGGATGATATGGATTAGGATTATACTTTGTTGACTATTACACACAGGGTTATGTTCATTTGGAAATTAAAGATCCATCTCCCTATTTTGCCAGCAATTCCTTGTGTGCGCACTAACATCATGGTAACACTTGTCAAAATCTTTATGAACTGTGTGTACATTACATCAGCGTTTTACTTGTTTTCTATGGCAGATAAGGCCATGTCATAATGGTCTAGCAATTGAGTGTCAGGAATGCCCTGTTCTGAGCTCATATTGTGCAGCGTTATGTAGATGCTGTGACTCTAATGTGTTTTTGTGATCTTACGTCTTAACACTCTTATTCAAAGATTTTTATGATGTGATGTTACTGCTGTCTATAATGTTTTCCCTCCATTTTATTTCCTCCTTTGTGGAGTAGAACAATCTCCAGTGTTTATGTTGGGATAACACTGGAATCTTGGCTTCATCTCCAAATATTGTTAAGCACCTGTGATAGTGGTTTATTGCAATTCCTGATGAATATGGATTTTCCAGGAATCTGGGCAAGGTACAGAGTGCATAGGCATACTGTCTATAGATACTTCAAATCTAGTGGGGTTCAGGTGATATCTGATGTATGATGTGATGTTGACATCACATTCATGAAAAATTTGCTTGAATTATCAATATTCGGTGTGTTCAGGGGTTCACTGAAACCAATCCTACTGTATCCTCAGTATTCCACTAATTTCTTTGTTGTTATCTGTGAGTTTCATCTTCCTTGTGCAAGTGCCAATGAAATTATAGAAATTTGCACACTACAAATCTACATCAGTAACCTCTGGGCAATTCCAGATTAAAAATCACTCCAAACACACAGCTCGTACAACACAGTTCTGACTGTAATAGGACTCAAAATGCCTGTTAATAAGCCATGTCTTTGTGACAATAATTCCTTCATAATTCTAAATATCCAGCTGAGGTACTCACTACTTTCTCTACCAACGAGTAGTTTAATTCTATCCTGTATTCCTGCTACGCAATTACATACATCACTCATTATTAGGTTGTTTCCTAACACTGATCAGGTTGTGTTTCTTAACACAACTTAACACTTTCACTCGGTAATGATGCAGTATGGTGTCAAAAATTTATTAGACGATTGTGCGGGAATGACGCAGTATTGCGTCAAAAATTAGAAAATTTGGCCTATTTTCGCCTTGACTGTGGGCGGAGCATGCTGGCCGTGAACATTATATTCATATACTATTGTAGGGAATTTTATTGCAAACACATTATTACCAAATTGAAAGACCTAATACGAGAATTGAGGTGACCAAAGTGAGAGAGAGTATACACATTTTATTGCTCTTGAGCTTTCACGGGTAACACACTGTCACTTTCTCTTTGGTGCGGGTGGTACTCCACACTTTTGGACTTTATATGCATATACTCCTGTAGGGAATTTTATTTTGAACACATTGATACCAAATTGAAATACCTAGGATGAGAATTAAAATGATAAAGTTGAAAAGAGCATACACTTTTCAGTATTACCGCGCACTCCTCTGAAAAGCCCGGCACACCTTGGGGCGGTCAGGCACTCGCCCAAAGCGCAAAAGTGTTAAGTTGCGAGTTAATATTTAAGTTGCAAGTTGAAATATCACGTTAAATCAAATTGATATTTCTGATAACGTGGCTCATAAGTGAGCCTGAAAAGAACAAAGTTGTGTTTGCTGGATGGGCAATTCCTTTTAGACAAACCGATATAATTTATTTATGAATTATTTCTTCCCAAGTGTAAGTCGGAGATTACAACAAGTGCACAATCTTCTTAGACTGTGATTTGTATTAACATCCACATTTATATCCAGCAATGAATAGCAGCTATTGATTGTACATGATCTGTGATGCTATTTTGGTGTACCACTACATGGTAATGAAATAAAAAAAGCACAAATATTGTATGTTTTTATTTAATCGATTTCCTTGTAAAGCTTCAAATTTACACTCGAATTCTTCTTTCCCTGCCTGAAAAAATTCACATTTTGATGTTAAATGTATAAGTAAACACTACATGTGAATTTTCAGGATAAAAAGTGCACATCACCTTTTATTCACGTCAAGCACCAATCATTCATTCACAATGCACACAACTGTCTTACTATTTGCTTTGTTTTCTTCCCTATGATATATTAACAGCCGATTAAGACCCCAAACTGGCTCAAAGACGAGATCAAGAAAAATTCTTCATATGTTCTACAGATAATTTTAACCTTTAAATTGTGTAACACTCGTCTAGAAAACTAAATTTGCTATATAAATCAGTAATGTCCCCAGAAAATAAAGATGATAAAGTGGCTTAGGATGCATGACTCCAGAATGGCATTAGTGGCAAGCTCAAAGATGGAATGTCTTAGGAAGTTGCATATTTGGGAAATGAGTATGCTGCAGAAATGACAGCATCAGGAATGTGGGTAAATCAGTTAGATTAGTGGGAGACTGGCCCACAGAAGACTAATGAAGAAGCTGCAGTAACATGTAGGTCCAAATACTGTATTAGATGATTACCATCAATGAACATAATTGCCCACTATATAAAAAAAATAATGAAACAGATTTACTGTACTTCCATTAAATAAATTTTTATATCGATACCTCTAGCTTGCAGGGAATTTTTTCTCAAAGTTGGGTAATGAAATTTACCCTGATGCCTTTAGTTCCCAACCATCTACAGACCTGCATAAACCATACAACTCAATGCATTACTTGGCCCTTTCTAGAGCATTGTAGCATAACAGCATAGGTCACAAGAGCCTTTACAACAAAATGTATGAAAGAACATTTTTTATTTGTTGTGTAAATTTACAGGTATTCATATAAACCTTCATTGTATTTATGTGCATGGCATTTTGTGTATTCCCATGTCTAATATGCAATAATAATGTACATGTTCCAAAATTAGCATCGGTTAGCTTCTGTGAGGCTTTATTACAAATTTATCAGCAAGTGATTATTGAGTTGTTTGAATTTAGGCAAGAAAGCATTTGTATTTAAATTATACATCAAACCCCTGTCTCGTGTGTCTTGTACAATTCCTTTACTATTTTGTCCTTCAAAAGGCTGATCAATAGCTATTTAACATATTTTAAAGCAAATTATGAATATTACATACTAATACCTGTAAAGGTCAAAGATTTAAGCAAATTTTTTATTGAGCATTTTTGTTCAAGGTCAGCAGGAAAATTTTGAGGTCACTCTAGAGTAGAAAAATGAAGAGGAGAGATGATTTTAGTTAAGCCAACCATTACCTAATAAATTTCCTTCACCATATTAGGTCCTAAATGGTACAACAAAAATTTAATTTTTTCCACACACATAAAGGAACAATAATTAAACTAAAATTATCAAGGAGCAATTGAATGCTTAATAAAATCAAAACATTTTACTTTTGTTTTGTTTTACAACAAAACATTACTTCTCAGGGATAATTTGAGTTTATGTTACACCTGTGTTGCCTAGTGAAGAAACATAACAAAAGTGATGCAAAAATACATTGATGATACCAGACTGGAGTTGCCTTAAAGACATATTGAAGGGTTAAATAAAATATATAGCACCAGAACATGAAACAAATTATAGTAATTTAGGTCAAACAAATTTGACACACACACAAGGGTTAACAAAAAAAATTGAACTTTCAACACTTCCTATCCAACACATCTAAAAGGTGTACATACACACAGGAAAGACCTCCATACCCAGTTCACCCATCTTCTTACACCACTACACATTTATCTGTCCATATCTCGAGTATGGAACTACATATAGGGATCAACAGAAACAATGTTAAGCCTATTATCACAAGAATAAGAAATCAGAATCATATCTAACTAATTTCATACACCCAACTTGCTCATTGAAATCCCTAAAACTACTAAATATACAAATCCTAGTCTGAACTTGAGACTGTCTTAAGTAAACAAAGCTTTTATGTACTTTGTAAACACTCAATCTGTGTTGAGACTATGCAGATAATGGAGCCCAATATGTGAAGCAGTTTGCAACCCAAAACCTAAAATTTGTACATTATTCTACAATTTGAAAAAATACATTTTTAAAACATACTATCAAACAATCAGAAACTAGAAGAAGCAAATTAAAAAATACAATAATAATAGTTTTGATTGCTATGTGTAACTATTCCTTCTTAAAGAATGCATGTGTGTCTAAAACCTGAAAATAAAGGATCTGACGATATTTTGGTCCATCCTGGACCATTACCAAGTCGTGCAATAACTTGAGGTCCAGGGTGGACCAAAATGCCACCAATTCCTTTTTTTTTTATTTACGAGATGGATGTCTAAATATTTTCTAATTGACAGTGTCTGTATATAATTATTTTATTAGCTCTAAATTTCAAACTGAAATAAATAAATAAACATTTACATATACAAACATTTAATTTTTGAACTTTGCATCAATGAGAGTTAGCATCACTCATACTGGCTATGTTCAATCTCAATATTTTGTAACTGACAAATGATCTACATGATGTAGATTACGTAAATGAAATATGGGGTGATTTCTCCTGGCATTAGCTGAAGCCACTGATGGTGCCCAGCAAGACATCAAGTGCTCCTACTAGCTTAAAAGAAATGGGCTGTGCAGCAATATACAGATTTTGAAGTGAAGATATATAAAAACAGAAAACCCTGCTGAAGCACAAACTCCAACCTGAACACAAAGCAAAAGCTTTGCCCTTTTCCATTAATAAGAAGCACAAGATACACATTACAAGCAGAAACTGGAGAGAAATGTAATTGAAATATTAAGACAAAGCATAGTAAGCTACATAATTACACTCACCTTGCTACTAGAATCTATGGAAGTACGCACTCCACCTGATCCTAAGAGTGTGTCGTCTAATGGCAGGTCATCATTGAGAGGATCCCGGTCCTGCTGGTAAAATTGAATTTCTCAACAAATATATAGGCTCATTAATGCAAAAATAAAAATTAGCATCATTGTAAACATAAATTTTTTACACAGCAATCCTATGGTTTAAGTTGAAACTTGTTCAGAATTAACCTGTTGCAGTCACATAATATCAACATTCATTGACAATATTTAAAGAAATCAGTACTGATACCTTTCACCCATTCTGCACTGAAAACTAACTTGCACACACAAATGTCTTACTTCCCCTGGTACTAAAATCTTTCACTCGTCTTTCATAGAAACCTCCTTCACCTGCAGTGTACAGAAAACTCCCGCCAGAGACAAAAACCTCTCATCCACAACATACAGAAACCTCACCCATCAACTGTGTACAGAAACCTCACCCATCAACTATGTACAGAAACCTCACTCATCAACTATGTACAGAAACCTCACTCATCAACTATGTACAGAAATCTCACTCATCAACTATGTACAGAAACCTCACTCATCAACTATGTACAGAAACCTCACTCATCAACTATGTACAGAATCAAGGCAAATGGGGGGCGGGGGCGCTTCAACAAGCTGCCGGTTTCCTGTCCACTAACCCCCAGGTTAGTGGTCTCAACCCTACAGAGCTTCTCCTCTTACAGAGCACCCTTTCACCCGTCTCATACAGAGCACCCTCTCACCCGTCTCATACAGAGCACCCTCTCACCCGTCTTGTACAGAGCACCCTCTCACCCGTCTTGTACAGAGCACCCTCACACCCGTCTTGTACAGAGCACCCTCTCACTTGTCTCGTACAGAGCACCCTCACACCCGTCTCGTACAGAGCAACCCCACACCTTTCGCGTACAGAGCACCCTCTCACCCGTCATATAGAGCACAATCTCACCCATCATGTACACAGCACCCTCTCACCTGTCATATAGAGCACAATCTCACCCATCATGTACACAGCACCCTCTCACCGGTGACGTACAGACCACCTTTTCACCCGTCATGCACACAGAACCCTCTCACATGTCACACACACGGCACTCACACCAGGCATGTAGAGTATCAACTCTCCTAATGCCAAACTAATGTAAACATTATTAACACTCATTCTTCAACTTTTAATCAAACACAGTAAGACAAACTGTATTTCACCTGCTGGCCATAACGCTGGTACCTGTGTGAGCTGTTCTGTGGTTGTAAGTAGTCTTGCTAGTGGAGCACAACACAGCGGTGTTGTGTCCAAAAGGGTGGGTCTACTGTTGGTTAGGAAAGGCTTCATGAACTTCACATCAAACTTGGCCCAAATGCGGAAGAGCCAAGCTTTCTCAAACTTGCCCACATTGTTGCAGTCTGTCCCACACTCCTCTCCCTCTTCTCCACCAGCACCCTGTAACACCCAACACTTTAAAAGAACTGAACAAAAAACAATTCAGAGTGATGAAAGGTACATGTGCAGTTATATTGCAATAGATGTGCACGATGTGTATGAAATAGATGCATACAATAGATATGTTGAAATTTTAAAATGGATTAATTAACTTAATATATCAAACTCTCAACCCTCTCACACAGCAAATAAATACATCATTATTAATCATATCCATGTCAATGGCTATAACAATATCTATGTACCCTCTCAACGATAATACTGCTATAGCCACCCTATATCTCCCACACTCAAATTTGCCTCAGCACAATCAATACAGTGAAAGCAATCACTAATTGGAATAAATGGGCCTCTGGAATAAATTGTAATCACTGGGTTATAAGAAACATTACAGTAATGATTCCTGTTTGTAAGCTGCCGCTGCTACTCCAACAGTGGTACTACAACTACTACTAGTGTATTCACAAACATCAATATACAGCACTGAACAATTGCTTACAATGAACAACATTGCTTCCCAAATGTATTAAATGTTTTAGCTCTAAGTCCACCAAACAGACTAAATTACAATTTTCATATTCCCAACTACTGCACTACAATACTTCGACTAATTTTGTATTTTTTGTATTAAATCCATGTACAAATATATATTCTTAATGATGTGTGTAAATCACGAAAATAAACATGTGATGAATGAAATTCTTAATGATGAATGTTTTACTAGTTACAAAGTGAATCTAATACCAATACTAGTATTACATAAATATATTAATATGGTAGACTATATATATATAATTGAGATTTACAGTAACTAAGGTCTATTTTAAATTGATGCAATATAAGAACTTAATATAATATATTAAGTAAAACTTAATATAAGAATATGCAGCAAGAATATTTGCCGCAAAGGTGTTAAGACTGGTAAAAAATATTATATTTCTGGCAAATGAACTCTGGAAAAGTGATACAATCACCAATTGTTGTTAAGTGATGCCTTCCAGGGATCACTTACCCCCGAGTGTTGCTGGTGCCATCCCAGTCATTTGCCTGTCACGTGGCAGTTGGTTTACAAGCCAAGGAGCAATTCATGCATCAAGCTTGCAAGCTTCACTTACCATAGATATTATTATTACCCAGCCAACACACACGAAGAAGAGAAGTGACTACTTGATAAGGGTCCAGGATGGACAGAAATGTTGTCACTCTCCTTTCTTCTCCTCTCGTATGTGTGGGTTGGGGTTATCACTTTTAAGTCACATTAGCGTCACTTATTCTTTGTATTAGATAACATTACGCATCCATATTTTAATTCGAGTTACACAGTGTACTCTATATGTAGTTCTGTAGTGGAGACCTCACATGCTGACGAGGTAACAACATTCTGCCTCCCCCACAACCTCTCCTCAACTTAAGCAACTATTAAATTTATATTTCACTAGATTTCTAAAACTGCAGTTCCAACTCACAATTATAATACTTTTCACTAACAAAAAATAAATGCACAGATATTTACACGTAAAATCTTTCAACCAAATGATTTGTAGCAAAATAAAAAAAATTGAATTAATTATTCAAATATGAAATGGATATAAATTACATGTGAAGAGTCCTTTAGTTAAAGAGACTAATACTCAATGGGCAAGGCTAAACAAGAGGCATAAAGTGAAAATAATCCTCATTTAAAATTTATCTACACTCAGCATGCTTATTTTTCCATATAGCTAATAAAAAACCTAACCAATCACTCCACACGTGGCAACCCTTGACTTAAAAAACACACTGTACTATGATTAAATTAATTTGCTATTACTACTACTTCCATTTCTTTTCTCACCAAAAAGTCATTTATCTGAAGCTATTTTCAAGGGCTAAGAACACAATATATTACATATTGAGAGACGAGACGGGACAGACACTGGCAACAAGCACAATACAGTGCAGCATGGCAATGAAAATGAAGCAGTTTTTACAAAATTACAGATTGCAGTGATTCCAGAAACACCTATTAGATGAAGATACCTATAATCTAAAGTCCATACCCCATGCAATAAAGAGAAAACTAAAAGGTTACGTACCCAGGACCCTTCAATGCTTTTGTAATCCTGAAACATCAAAACAAAAGAAGTTTTGATGGCCTTTAATGAAAATAATATCATACAACAAAAATAATACGAAAGCCAAGTGACAAGCTGCAAAACTTATTAATAATTTTGCACTAATGAAGGGAGAAGCAAACTATATAATGTGATTCAATTATGTACACTCTGAAATCAACCCACCAAGACCTGTGAAGTTACATACTTCATTAGTTATACAAGTGCTTAACTCTTGCAACAACACTATGTGTCTTGGTAGACTGACATAAGATTTGTACATGGACCACAGTGTGCCACGTGTGGAGGGTACTGTATAAGAATTTGGCTTTACCGCCAGTGTTATTATGTCACAGATCAATGGATTAAAAACAGGAGCACCAATTCATAAAAAATGACAAACTAGCACGAATAAAGAAACTTTAAAAATAACACCCATCAACACCTCACCCTCTCTTTCCCCCCAGGTTAAGTGCAACCTTAACCAAATTCAAAGAACTGAATGGATAAAAACCCACACATATATATTCGTTTATTTTTTGTAAAGATTTACGTCTTTCGCACTCTCTCGAGTGTTTTATCAAGGTCTGAGTATGTGCTTAGGACGAGACTTACATCTCAACAGTTAATACCTATTAGCTGCCGAGATGTAAGCCTTGTCCTAAGCACATAGTCAGACCTTGATAACCCAGGAGAGTCCATCCAGGAGAGTCCAAAAGACAGTGTGGAAACGTCAACCACTCCTCCTGTTTATAGAGTACTTTTTGTAACTATGTGCACAATAGTACAAACATTGATGTACTAAGCAATTAGATAACAGAATTTTGTACTACTGTATTTACTTTATAGTCCGAAAAAATTAAGCTAAAAACAAATTTAAGTATTCCTAGGCCTAGTATAGCACACATACCGTATGTACTATATTAGGTCTCAGATAGCAGGCCTAAGAAGATTAGGTTAGTTTAGTTTGTTTTTGCATCATAATTAGAAAATCGTTTTCCGACCAATCCTTTTTTATTTTGATTTACTACCACAAGACACTTAATGACACAAGTGAAGAGATATTTTAATTAATTTGGTGCATCTGTTTTAACCAAAATTTTAAGTTAGAAATTCACTTTGGCTCATAAAGCTTTACAGTAATATTTAAGTACAGAATAGCATTACAAAATTTGTTTTCATTGTCAGTCGAGATAATGTATCTTATGTTGAATTTAATGAATGAATAGATGTAAGTGATTTGGCCATTACATATTTGAATGTAATCCCTCACTAAGCCAAATAAATAATACACACACACACGTGCAAGTGTCAACACACCCCCCTTCGTACAAATTGCATACAACGCAATGCACAGATATTTTTGCAAACATAGTTCTTGGTGCACCTTAAGGATGGAGTTCCTCTTTAGTTATGATCATTAGGTCAAGAATAATTTGTGCAGATGGATGAAATGACAGTGCATAGTAAGGACGTTATAAAATTTGTAATGTGCCTCTTCAGATTTTCAGTAACGTTAAAATTGTTACTTATTTGTTCTTCAAGAGTTTTAAGTTGTATATTTTAATTTGGGCACAAAAAATAATAAGTGCTTTAAAATAATTTTTGTTTTGGAGTAATTGTGCAGAGTAAGAAACACTAGCTGTGTCTTGCATGCTCAAGTCTATTATGCCATCTCTTGCTAGCATCAATGCATAATGCAGAATCAACAGTATGTAATACAGTAAACTCCTGGCCTAGCACATGGGGATTTAACAAACTGAATCTATATGAAGTAAAAATTGTAACTATTAATGTTTTTAAAATTGTCTGAATCAACCGTATGCAAATTGTGTGATGATACTAGTAGTCAGTACAAAAATCATTTTTGTTTCAAAATTTTGGCCAAAATTTAACTGTTTTCAATAAAATTGAGACTTTTATACCAAAATAATCTAAGTAGCAATGTATTGCATTAATAAGCCTCTAAATTTTACTGAATACATTACACTATATATTATTTAAAGTAATAAAATGTTTGTTCAACGGATTGACAAAACACTACTGCAAAAACTGCTTAACATAAGATATATGGAAATGCATCTGCACATAAAACCAGGAGTGTACTGTAGTTATCATGTACCTCTGCACAAACTAATTCCTAAATATGCAGCTAAAAGAGAAAGAGAAAATTATCCAGATCACACAGAAACATTGGGCAGGTATTTAACTATAAAATACTTCAATGCACTAAAATGCCCCCAACATGCCAGATGCCTTTGACTTACATTTCTGATGGGCTGGAACTGGTTCAGATGATGGGTCTCGTCATCCTCAACATCAACACTGCATGAAAAATACCATTACTCTCATCAGTATAGATAGAACGTAAGCAATGTGGTATGGTCTATTAACTTCTATGTTCCAACTAGGTAAATTATAAAATTTATAAATTTGACCAGAGAGAGAAATTGCAGTCACAAGTTATTATAAATGCTAATTTAGTATCTTTTTGGGTGGTAGTTAAGACATTCTTTAAACTGACTTGCCTGAAACTAACTATGAGTAAGTACAAGTCTCAAGGGACTAAATCATATATGAATAAATGTCATAAAGGTGGTAGAATATTTGAAGGTCGTTAGGGTAAAATAAGGAACTTGACAGTACATCAGGATATCTAGAGGCCTACAAACCCTCAATCCAGGTCTGACAGCAGGTACAGAACCATTAGGAGAGCCACGGGGGGGTTTTGGAACAAGGATTATAATTTTGGGGGGCCCAAATCATTATAAACCTATTACTACAATATAGCAGCTAAATTAAGACAATAGTTAAACTAGGCACGAACAAGATAGTATGGCAATGTATTACTAATCGGATATAGAAATACATTTAAGACAAAAAGTAAGTCGGTAATAGGGTTGGAGGAAGAAAGATTGTTTGAGAATGACATGCACAGACATACAAGACAACAATAAAGAAACAGATTATCAGGTTATAAGAAGTGCTGCCTCTTGGAAAGTGACAATGAAGTCTGTGAGGAGTTAAATGAAAGGTACCAAGAAGTCTTCAAAACTAAATTTGAGTGGTACAGACAACTACAGAGTAGAGGATACATTGAGCCAACATTATAGAAGTTTACAAAATTAGTCAACAAAACTTCATGTAAGCAAGGTTGTAAGGCCAGACCAATTGTGGTCAAGACAGTTGAGATACTATATAACCCATTAAGTAGAATCTAATGGTGAAGGTATAGCTCCTGACTATATGAAAAACTACAAATGCAGTGACAATATTAAAGAAAGGTGTGGATAACCAGCAACTTTATAAAGTACCGGAGAAAATAATTACCAAGAGGGTTGTAGAACATGATAAACTTAATAATTAAGAGGAAGCAAGTTCCCGATTAGCCAGACAGTTCGATGACATTTATAGAAGACAAGACGGGCAAGATGGTCAAATGTATTGCCGCAACATTATAGAAGAGAAGAGGGGACATGATCACTATATACAAGATCTTGAGAATAGATACTGCAGATAAAGCAAGACTATTTAAGTTAGAAGGAGGTAGGACAAAAGGACACTGGTAGAAGCTGGATATGCAATTAAGTTGTAGAAGTGTAAAGAAATTCTCATACCCTATATAGGTAGTTGTCAAGTGAAATGTATTAAGGAAGAGGTTATTGAAAACAATTCCATCCACAACTTAAAGAAAAAATTATGATGAAAGCTTTAAGATTGAGAGAGGTAATTAGCAAGCAAAGTATAAACGACCAGAAGGCAGGGAATAAAGAACTAGAGCTCACTCCCCTGCAGTTACTGATAGGTAAGCACCTCCCCACTTCCTAATTTCTTTCACATATTGTTTCACTCTAGTGTAATATTTAATATACTTTTCTTATATAGTACTGCCCACCATTTTCCTACCAACACAATGACAGAAAGAAATGGGGTAATAATGAAAATGATCATTCCTAGGCAGTAATTGTCAAAATAACCTTCATTATCTTAACACTGCAATAATGATTTTGATCTCGGTATCAAATACCTAAAGAAACATCAGACAAGGAAAAGCCTTTATGAAACAGATTCTTTGCCAAGTAATTTTTGTTTCTGTTGTCTCTCCTAGCCTGGTGTTCCCTTATTCAAACAGAAATGAAAATATTTGTACTATCTACTTACGGTATTCCTAGCCATGACAAGACTTGTGTGGTAAGTCCACCACACAAAATTACAGTAACTATTACAATGAGAGATGTCGTTGTCAAGATGGACTTTCGTGCATCACTGCTTGTGTTGCGGATTGCCAGAGCAAAGGCAATAGCTCCTCTTAGACCTGGAAAAAAATGATTTAAGATCATAAAGGACATTCTGCAGCTTTTCTTTTATATTAATATCTTGTTGCTCTATAAACTTAAATAACATTCATATTGACTGAATAAAAGTACTCTATATACTCAATAATTTACATCAAAATTTAGTCTCGCTTCCAAATCCATTGAAAATAACCCCATTGTTTACACTAAGTAGTACACAAATGTAACCTATGTTTAAATAATTAGCATGTGACACCCTGACAAGTTTTAAAAGATTTATTATATTCCCCACATGTGTCCATGCCTTTGTTTATGTACTGTCTTGCAATTTTGAAATAATTCCCCTGAATTCTTTGCCGAAATATTAAAAGTTGATATTGATATTATTTACCCGAAGGACATATGTGGTGACTTCCCACTATGAAAGTGAGAAATGAAATAATAAATGTACGCATGCATGCATGTACTCTATGTACCTGAGAAGAACAGCATGTTCATGAATTTGACAGGAATCTTAGGGCGGCGTCCAATATTGAGCAAGCAGGAGAGCGGGTAAATATTTAAGAATCTTCCTGCGATGACGGCCAAAAATGCAATGCAAATGAATCCTGGTTCCCACTTGTGATGGTCGAAGGTAAACATTGAGACACCAATGTAAGAGAAGATGAAATTTTCCGACAAGAAGTTGAGTAATTCAAAAAGCGTTTTGGTAGCTACACGACTCTCCACTGAGAGATTGTTGTATGTGTAGTGCGCTTGACAAATACCACAGAATAGAACTGCAACAATTCCTGAAAAGAAAAGAAAAATGAGGAATAATAACGGGCAGCACCAAATAATGTAATATTAAATGTGGTCAATTCTTAAAAGAAAATATATATAATAATAATGAATATCTTTCCACTATTCTATCATTTACCCAAATACAGTATAAAAGTGTGTCCTCTGAGAATATAAACAATTATCTTTGTAATAATTCACTAAATGATTAATTACAGATGTTTTTGAGAATACAGTATTCATTAAAAAAATTAACAGAACACAAATATAAAATAAGAGCAAAATTAATTGAATAATCAATTACCAGTGTTTAAATCATTGCAATTACCAGTGTTTTATTCATTATTATTAATGTCACCATATATTTCAGAGGCGTCTTCCAGTTGGACACATCAGAGTGTACATGGACAAAATTATATTTACTGTCACCCACCCTCTTACGGACAATTTCCACATATACAAATAATTTATTTATTCCAATTAATTTAATATTTAATTATTTCAATGATGTTTCCTCTTTAACATTTTCCTGTACTCCAAACATCTGTTCATTTTAAAAAGGGATGCATACTCTCAAGCTTACAATACTTCATTGTCAAAATTCTGAAAGCTGCTCATACGTATGCAATGATTGAATGTTACTGAATGTGATTATCTTAATATATACCTCTAGAGACAAGGATGTCTACCCTTAGATACTTTTCTTGTTCTAGAAGCTGTATTTCCCTATTTTGTGTAATAGGCCTTTCAGTATGCTGATTATGTAGCATTTACTTAGGTTGAAGTCATGAAGTTAGTTCAGCATTGGCTGCAGAGAAATCCACTTCTTTGGTCACATACACAAGGAACAGGACATATCTTGCTAAAGATTTTTGTAGCATTCCATTGGCACCTCACCTACATCCTAATTTATCCTTTCTTACAGAGTATCTGCTTCCAATTTGACCAACTTCAGCATATAGATTAAAGGAAAACTTTACCTGTTAGATCTGCAGCCTCTGCCATCAGGAATGTTGAGTATGACATGAGAACAAATAAAGCAGTCTCCAGTAGAGGAAAGTCTTTCAGGCGGGTGAATTTTGTGAGTATCGCAGTGAGGCAACCCATAACTGAGCCTATGAGGAAGGACATACTGAAGATCCACAGAAAATTGAGTATTGCCAAAAAGAATGCAGAAGTCTCAAAGCCTCCAGTGTCACTCCCGTAACTTTCTATGGCACTGTTCAGGATGAGAGAGATTTATTATTATTAATGCCGAATAAAAATTAATATTGTATACACTTCCCATTTCTTCTTCCATTATAACAATAGATGCAACCTAAACCTTTAGGGTGATGCTTTAAAACTGTTGAAGGCATTATGAATGAATATCAGCATTAGCTTCAAATTTTTAAAGGCAAAATAAAGGCATTAATTATCACTTCATACAAACCTGGATAACACGATTGCCACTGCATCATTTAAGACACTTTCACCAAATACAAGAGCATACAGGTTCACATCAACATGAAGATCGGAGAAAATAGCCAAAATTGTGACTGGATCTGTTGCAGAGATAAGTGCGCCAAACAGCAGGCAGTCGATGAAGGTGATGGAAGAACTGATAAGCCACAGGAAACCATATACCAAACCACTGAAACATTGCAAGTTTTAAAAACAATTATTAACAAATTATGTATGGCAAGAATGTGCATTTAATAAATTTATAAAAAGGGGGAGGATAGCAAGAAAATTAAATGAGCTCATTTTAATTCAACTAAATACTAAAGTTATATTATCAACACTGCAATCACTCAAGGCAATAGATTCTAAATGCTAATGGGTCAACGTCAAATTTGAAACAAATGCAAAGGAACGAAATGCAAGAGGCTTACCCAACAACAAAAGTAGATATAGTTGTTCCAAGGAATGCAAATGTGAAGATGGCACCAAGATTCTTAAAGAAATGTTTCTGAAATTAAAAATAGCACATCAAATTACTGTATCTCAATGATTGCAGAATATTTTATATAAGCAATCAGTTGATCAGTTGAAATAAATCATTTTATTGAATAGGAAACTGTGTAATCAGATGCAGACATAATGGAAATAATGAAATATTGAAAGTCTCCAGGACATGTTTTACGATCACCTTTACCACTCCGGTACAGGCAGATTAACATAATGTTTAGCGATATCTGCACCTGATCATTAATTTTTTTAGTTCACATGTAATTGTGTTAATAAACCAATGTTATATTTTACAAGAAATTAAATATTTTTGGATAGATTTTCCTCACATTTTAAATAATATTCAATAACTGTACCCCAACAGAGAAAATGAAAGCATATTTTACCCTCTTAAGACTGTAGCCTGCACTGAAGATTATGGGTGGCAGCAGAATGTTGAAGAAGATCTCTGGATCAAAAGTAGCCTTCAAGACAAAAATAATACAACATATACTGTATGAGCAAACACAACACAGGCTATGGAAATAATCTTAATACTGTATACCTAAATGAAGTAAATTAATAATAGTTATTAATATTAATGTGAATCAGCTTCATTACCTTTAAAATGTGTAACAAACATTATTTTGGCATGATATCTGACGTACCTTTTGAACAATTTCATTTTCCAATGCCTCTGGAATCTCGCCTTTAAAAGAGTAAGCGTATATTCTGCCCAAGCTAGCATTACCTGTAATTAGAACCACCACCTGTTAGTTCAGACACCGAAACATTATTAATCTCACTTTAACTGGAATACCACAGCTCGGTCGGCCCATACAGTACAGTATTTAAATATAGAATAAACAAAATTAATACCACCAAATAGAAAATACAGTATTTCAGTATATAATAAATGCCTTTAAAGTACAGTATTTTAAAGATAAATTAATTTTGTATTAAGTACATGCAGCAAAAAATATACTGTAACCATAATTTTGTTAATTTAAAACACTTCTTTAAAGGTCATATACAGGGGTACCTCCTCGAATTAATCCATTACCAGAGACTATTCGAATACCGCAACATTTTCCTATAAGAAATAATGTAAATTGAATTAATCTGTTCCACGCCCCCAAAAGTATTAACTAAAAAATACATTTTATACAGAAAACTACTCATAGGTACCTTATCTTTTTGGAGGACTTGTTGGTGTATGGAAGACAGTGAGTAGGGGAGGTATTAGTGTTTGGAAGGGGAGTCTCCTTCCATTATAACATCAGGCAGTGATGACATTTCTGAGGTACTCTCTCATGTTTTGCAGGTATACCACTAGGACCTGGTTGTGGGTCACTGCTTGCTTGTCTTCCTAAGAATCTATCTATAGACACTTGTTTTTCCCTACGTTTTAACACTTGTCTGTAGCGAGACATCACATTGTCTCACTATGAATGATCTCTCTTTTTTCCTCTATTGTCATCCTCAACTATTTTCTTAGGTTGAACTTTACCACCGACTTTCTTGGAATCCATGGTGCAATATATAACAAGAACTTTTATGTTCAGAAAGCAAAATAGCACAAAAACAATTAAATTCTTCAAAAAAGAATTCAAGTTCAATCATCACTAGGCAGGAGACACTGGTAAACTTAACGCGCCATGTGCTCAGTCGGCCCATACATACAGTACAGTATATCAACAAACTCGAGGCAAACTACAAGTACCATGTCAAAAGTTTTGAAGAAATTGAGCTCGAGAACCATAAAATTTTTAAACGGGCATTCGAAAACCGAGGTTCCACTGTATTGTAAATTAATTTAGGCATTAAGTTAAAAAATTATCATATTGCCCCATTTCCCACTTTCATGGAGAGATATATATAAACTTGTTCTTTTGTTGGAAAAGAACAGTTATTTATCATATATCCTCCCATCATCGCAAAATTATATAGTAGTTATTCTGGCAAATGCAGTATGTGTACTGCACATGTTGCTTTGCAAAGTCAGTCATAAACCACAACCTTTCACAATAAAAAATAAATAAAAATTACTAGAACATTTTCCAGACAAAATTTAGAGTGCCAACACCTCTTCACCCCATAAAAGAGGGAATTAGCATGTTAATACAATTTGCAATGCAACACCCCAACCCAAGTTATTGTCAGGTTCAATCTTTTAAGTAAACAAATGCATAAAACTTCCATTGTAAATAACTATTGTCAAGTGAACAGAGGCAGTAGGTTCAAGGAAACATGCACTAATGTCTTACCTGACTCGGAACCAATCCCAGCACCAATCAGCTGAGCCATTTGTGGCAGTGGTCTAAATTTTATACTGACATTTGTTACTCTGAATTAGTTCTTTGTTTTGTTTATTTAAATTAGCTAAATTAGCTGTTTATTTAAATTAGCTGCTTACAAAAACTGGTCTACTTTATAATTAACCCATACAAGGCAAACCTTTTCTTATCCACATGCATTCAGCAAATTAAATTTTATAATAAATAATGCTTGCTTTCAACAGATGGGGCAGATTATATGCTGTCCAAGCTATATTTAATACCCAGGCTTAATAACTCGGCTGAATCCATTCATCATGCACCTGACAATAAATTTTGTCTGGGGCATAATGTCCGAGGAATATAGCAAAACTTTTAGTAACTTTCTAAACATCCTTCAACATTAGTAAGTCTAGGTACAGTACCATACAATATGAAGTATTGTACCAAAATCACAAATAATAAACCTCTGGAGTCCAGAATGTACAACTTACCCCGATTATACTTTAGCCACAGCGAGTCGGGTGGTACATTGTCATTGTATGCAGTGTCCTCTGGTACTACTCTCATGTGAGTTAGTGAAGTACTGTCTCCACTGTACCTCAATATGGCTCCCACTATTAATCCTGTATACAGTATAAAAAAAAATGTAAATGACAAGCATCCTATGCAATCATGTCTCAACAAAGAACTAGACAATATTCCTTGTACAGTCCAGTAAAATGAAAACAATATTTGTAACTAAATAACAAATATTGAAAACTAAATTACCAATAAATAATTGAGAAGTACATCAGATTGATATCAATAAACGTAAAAAGGTTCTCCAGTTAAACGTGGATTGAAAAGTAGTGTACTGTACAAGTTTGTTGGAAATACTGTAGGTTAAAATTAGAAAGAACCTCTATAAAACAGTTACCACAAAAACTGTAGAAATCAACTATGCATACTTTGAACTCCATTGTTCTAAGTACAAAGAAATGGTACCAGGTAATGTCAAAGGAACAAAACATTTATATTATGCAAATCAGTTTTAGACCAACATAGTAGTGGACATTAATTTACTTTTTGTGTGCAGAAATGGAAGACAGCTTATCCCAAGAATTAGAACCCTTTCTTATGAAGAGATTTATTTACATTCCCTGGATAGATGAAGAATAGATCATGACAATTGATTTACACAAATGCATGAAAGGGGTATACAAAAGGGGGGATAGAAATAAGGTTTTAATATACATAAACATATGGAACAAAAAACAATTATATAAACTTTATAAGTTTAGAATCAGAAAAGACTTGGGGTAAATGCAGATTTAGAAATAGGGCTGTAGATTAATAGAACAAATGACAGAATAACATAATATAGTATATGTGATCTCTGGAATGTTAGACATATATATGAAGGACTTTGAATGGATGTAAATAGGAGTTTACCTCATATGAGCCAAGAAGCTTAATGCAATTTCCTATATTCTTATGTTTTAACATTTCTTTAGGTCTTTTCTGAATAAAAACTAATCCAATTTGTATTCGTTATTTAGTATTCAATTTTGTATTGGTTCCAGATTTTGTTTAAGAAAGAAATTGATAATTATAAAAAATTCTCTGACCCTACTAGCACACCTTTTAATTAATCTACCTTCTCCAAATATATTCCTATACCTCTATAGTCTAACACTTTAAACCTACAAGTGATTATTAGTAAACACTTAACAGACAGTTAAAGGTCAAGTGATTATCATTAACTCTCATTCAATACAATTAAAAATATCAAATATATTTGTCAAAATTAAATTACATAATGAGAAGACAGCAAAGAGGAAGCTTTTTAGTTCAGGGGTGTAATCTACCAAATGCTCAAGGTGGAATATTTAATCAAAGTCAATCTCTGTGAACCTCTGTGAATTACGGGCTCACCATAGCCCGTGCTACATGGACACTTCGTTCTGAGTAGCTAAATCTAAAACAACAATCTGTGAACAGTAGATGAAGTAAAGAGTATTAATGGCCTATACAGCAGACTCACTTGTCCAAGTCTGCTACTTGACACACACACACGGTACAGAGACTCTGGCACCATCTCTCACAGTATAAACAGTTAGCACTTACCGTATATGACAGCGAGTCCGGTCTCGTGAAGGTACCGTGCACGTCGGTATTTGAAGATCCATATTGTCACCACCGTTAAAATGAGCAAAAAGGTGTATAACAAAATGTTGAGACTGTCAATACGATGCGTGATCAAGTACTTTTCATCCAGCTCGATGTCAGTACCGGTCGAGGGCTTGGCAGTCACATAGCGAAGGAAAAACACCAAGACAATTGCCAGGAAACCTCCACTCCCACCACCTGCCATGGCGAATGTTTACAACTGATATTGTGATCAATAAATCCTGGGGAACTAGACGCTTAAACAACCAAGCATCGCCAGTCACCTACGTCGTCCTCACTCCATAACCAACTGACGCTGCCAAACTAACCCAAGGCGCTTATATACACCAATAATGGCTGGAGATGCTTGAGAAAATAGTGTGGTGGGAGAGAGAGGGTGTGGTGGAGCGGGGAGGGCTGGGGATGAGTGTGGTGTTGGGCCGTGGCCGCCGCTCCAATAGACGGAGGAAGACTCTTCACACTCACGGTCACGGGACGAAACAAGGCTTCCTGCAGATAACATTCTCATGAAGCACTCGCCCCGCAGACTTTTCTGGAAATTCTCCAATATTTAGGGTTGTCCCTACAGAATCCTTATAATCCATCCAAAGTTTGCTGGTGCAAGCTAACAGACATAATGTCTATATCAACCGTCCTGCGATTGAGATAGTGTTTGAGATAGCACATTACTCCATCACATAAATCCTACAAAAATAAGCCACAACAATAATCCTTCATAAAAATCCACCTCAATAACCCTCAAAAATACTCTACCACAATAACCCTCCATAACAATTCACCACTATAACCCCCCCCCATAATAATCAATCTTAATTAATATTTAATTATCATGGCATATGGAGAGACCTTTGGCAAGCCGGCGGCTTCCTGTTCTTTCAAATTCAAATGTTTATTCAGGTAAAATTACATACATAGAAGATGGGTTGGGTCAAGATGGGTCTTGTCGAGGCCACTAGTGTTAGTGGTCCTCAGGGAAATATAAAATAAGAATACAGTAATATTCAAAAGGTTATATTGTCCCATTTATATCTATATGGGAGCATGTGTGTGTACAAGGTTGCATGGCAGACACTTGGGGCTAGCCTAACCCAACTTTGCAGGGTGACTGGTGGGGGGTTTGGGAGGGTCACTAACTGGTCGGGGTCGTATCCATTGCCCCAATTGTGTATATATTTTGTAATGATTGTCTGTTAATGTAAATATCTTTCATAAAAATTGTAACAAAAAACGTTACACTTTATTATTTTATAATACATTCATAATTTAAAACAATACAATTCAATAGAATAAAATTAATTATAATTCCTCTGTTATGAAGAGGAATTATAATTAATGTTATTCATAAATAATAATTTATGAAGATTATAATTTATTATAATTGTCTTAAAATTTAATGTAAAATTTGGGTTTGCTATTTTAAACTTAATAACGTAATTCGCGGTTGCATTATATTCTTATTAATAGGCCATTTAAACTTTTAACGTTTTAGTTTTTAATCTATATGAAATAGATGGCAAGTAAGTTGTACTTTTTTCGTGGAACCACATGGAACACTGCTTGGAAATCACTGTTCTAAAGAATGTAAATTCAGCTTTTTAAATTTCTTCATAAAGAAGTTTCTAATTTATAAATTTAACGTATTCATCCTTTTCTGTACGTGTTCAAGGGAATTTATGTCCATTCTATAACGGTGACTGAAAGAGAACTGCATTTATGCACATATTTTTGGCCTTATGTTCCTACTGCTCAATACTCAGCCCTAAAAGAATATTGTTGTGAAGACATGGGGGTCTACAGAGACAGGGAGGAGTGTTGTGAAGACATGGGGGTCTACAGAGACAGGGAGGAGTGTTGTGAAGACATGGGGGTCTACAGAGACAGGGAGGAGTGTTGTGAAGACATGGGGGTCTACAGAGACAGGGAGGAGTGTTGTGAAGACATGGGGTCTACAGAGACAGGGAGGAGTGTTGTGAAGACATGGGGGTCTACAGAGACAGGGAGGAGTGTTGTGAAGACATGGGGTCTACAGAGACAAGGAGGAGTGTTGTGAAGACATGGGGGGCTACAGAGACAGGGAGGAGTGTCGTGAAGACATGGGGGTCTACAGAGACAGGGAGGAGTGTTGTGAAGACATGGGGGGCTACAGAGACAGGGAGGAGTGTCGTGAAGACATGGGGGTCTACAGAGACAGGGAGGAGTGTCGTGAAGACATGGGGGGGCTACAGAGACAGGGAGGAGTGTTGTGAAGACATGGGGGTCTACAGAGACAGAGATGGGTGTTGAAAGCTTGTCCGATGCTAATGTTTACATAAATGCTGCTAGGTCATCAGAGTTGCGTGGTTGTGCAACTGAGAAAGTAAGGCGTACTTGGCCGTATCCCGATGCCTCGCAACCTAAACACTTCAAGGCTATACATACGCCCTTTTTTCAGTATACTTAAGCGGAATGAATTCAAGTAGCTGTACGAATGTCATTTATTAACAAACAATTTGACTTAATGACACGTGCTAACTAGCATACTAGATTTGTACTTTGCCTTATTGACCAGAATCGATTATTGACTGTCAGCTGCTATTTTACTGCAAAGGTCATCGCCACTGTGCCACAATCCATTGATTCTGGGTTCGATTCCCGGACAGAGCGAAACTTTGGGCATGTTTACATAACATCGAAAACGTTCAGCGAAGGATGACAAAATTTATCCCTAAAGTACTACGAATTTATCTTACAAAGATAAGTTAGGATTTACCTTTCTTTTTCTAGAGAGGCGTATAAGGCTACAAGTGGATGAAGACCATTTACGAGGCGTACATAAAGTCATACAATAATCGTCAGGTCTGAATTCGTAACACTATTTTTAAACTGGTGAAATTCCGATTTAAAAGGAATGCAGAATAGGCAAATGTAAGACCATATAAGAATTAAGGAAACTTCAGAAGGCCTATGGGCTCATACATGGCAGCTTCTGTTTATATCCATACAAACTCATTCATATATGTCTAATATACGCTTGAAACAATCCAGTGATCCCACGTCTATTATATAATCTGTCCCACAGATTACTATAAATCTATTCCTTAGTAATAGCTATGGACGAATGAAATATTTCATTGAAGATAGCATCAATGAAGATAACATTTAAGTGTTTTGTTGAGCATGAAGGAGACCTCCCCTGAGCACTGGTTCCCGTCACCAGATCGAAGTCTTGTTCAGTGTTGTAGTTACCGAGGTGAAACAGTGCCCTAGTACAGGTGTTGCAGCTCCGTGCGCATCCTTCACACGCCAAACAACCTTATATAAAATCAATTATGTCTTTGCAGGTGATGGAAGCAAGAAGCAGCGTGACACGAGGTCAGTAGAGGCAGGGGTGTGAGCGTGGCCCTGCCAGGCTTGGTAACCTTCAGGAAAGGTGCCGTGCAAACACTGATATTTACACTCCCTGGTATATATGGGCTAAGTTAACAAGTCTTATAAACTAGCGCATATGCTGCTGGTTGCAGCCTCACATTCCTATTATATATCACAGTATTACCAAACATATTTGTCCAGATGTCACACCAGACAGATTTTCCCAAAGATGGCAGCCAGATATAGGAGTAATATATAGGCCACCAAATTTAGACAGAATGGAAGCAAAGCATCTATGGGATGAAATATCTAGAGCATCTAGATCTAACAGTATTTATGTCATGGGTGACTTTAATTTTAGCGGAATAAACTGGTTGAACAAAACAGGGAATAGTGAAGCAGAAGATTTTCTAGAATTAATTGACGATTGCTTTCTTACGCAACACATTAAGGAACCAACACGGGAAAATAATATTTTAGATTTAGTGTTAACTAACAGGGAAACGCAAATTAATGACATCGAAATAGGGAGTGAGCTAGGGAGCAGTGATCACAAAGAAATCAGATTTAGCATAGAATGGAATAGACCAGTAGGAGAAAATTCTGTTAAAGTGCCAGATTTTCGGAAAGCTGATTTTAATAGCCTAAGAAATTTTTTGGGTCAAATTGATTGGAAAGGCTTGGGTATGGGGTGTGGGCCGGTCTTGGAGCGAGACATGAACCCAGCGATAGGTGACTTAAATGGGGATTTCGATGTGGATTCAATATATAACTTATTTAAGAATATTCTAAACAAAGCACAGGAACGTAGTATACCATACAAATTGAATAGATCGTATACTAATGACCCAAAGTGGATAACAAAGAATTTGAAGAACCTTATAGGTAAAAAGAGAGCTTGGTACAAAAGGATTAAAAATGGGGAGGTCACTTTAGAACAGGAATTCGTACAACTGGTTAGAAATGTTAAAAAAGAGATAAGGAAAGCAAAAAGAAACTATGAAGTTCGCATAGCAGGGCAAGCAAAGACAAATCCTAAAGGGTTTTTTCAGTTATATCGTACTAAGACTAGGGAAAGGATAGGTCCATTAAAAACTGAGACAGGTCAAATAACAGATAGTGATGAAGAGATGAGTAGTATTTTTAATAAATATTTTGTATCTGTATTTACTAAAGAGGAACTTAACAATATGCCTTCAGCCGAACAAGTCTATGTGGGTGGGGACGAGGACAGGTTGACGAGTTTAGCAGTTACCAGGGAGGATGTTCTTAAACAAATAGTAAAACTCAAACCAAACAAATCCCCAGGGCCGGATGAAGTGTTTGCTAGGGTGCTTAAAGAATGCAAAGAGGAGCTTTGTGACCCACTGTCAACCATATTTAATAAATCAATAGAGTCAGGCAGAGTGCCAGAGTTTTGGAAAGTTGCTAATGTGATACCAGTTTTTAAGAAAGGAGATAGATCACTTGCGTCTAACTATCGACCAATTAGCCTAACGTCTATTGTGGGAAAGTTACTCGAATCTATAATAGCAAATAAAATTCGTCTTCATCTTGAAAAACATAAATTAATAATTGAGTCGCAACATGGTTTTATAAATGGCCGTTCATGTTTAACAAATTTGTTATCTTTTTATTCTAGCATTGTTGAGGCAGTTGATAGTGGTAAGGATTGCGATGTTGTATACCTTGACTTTAGCAAAGCTTTTGATACAGTGCCACATGAAAGACTGATTAAAAAAATAGAGTCTCATGGTATTGGGGGTGCTATATTAAGCTGGATTAGGGCATGGCTATACCAAAGGAAACAGAGAGTTAGTATAAATGGAATCAAGTCAGAGTGGGAAAATGTTGTAAGTGGAGTGCCTCAAGGCTCTGTCCTGGGACCTCTGTTGTTTATAATATATATAAATGATTTAGATTCAGGTTTGAGTAGCAACATTTGCAAATTTGCCGATGATACGAAAATCGGTAGGGAAATTAATTCGGAGGAGGACTCACTATCACTTCAAGTTGATCTAGATAGGGTTTTGAAATGGTCAAAGGATTGGCAGATGCAGTTTAATGCTGATAAATGTAAAGTTCTGAGGTTAGGTAATGATGATAGAGTTACAAGATACGAGCTAGATGGTGTTGTGATTGCGAAGTCGGATTGCGAAAGGGATCTGGGAGTTATGATTAGTAAGAATTTAAAACAAAGGATCAATGCATAAATGTTCGTAATAAGGCAAATCGGACACTTGGATTTATTAATCGCAGCGTTAGTAACAAGACACCTGGTGTGGTTCTCAAGCTATATCTTGCTCTAGTTAGGCCCCATTTAGATTATGCAGTTCAGTTTTGGTCGCCATATTATAGAATGGATATAAATTCACTTGAACGTGTCCAGCGTAGGATGACTAAGTTAATTCCCCAAATTAGAAATCTTTCATATGAAGAAAGATTAACAAAGCTTAAGTTGCATTCACTGGAAAGGCGAAGAGTTAGGGGTGACATGATAGAGGTTTACAAGTGGATGAATGGACATAACCGGGGGGATATTAATAGGGTATTAAAAGTATCAACACAGGACAGAACACGAAACAATGGATATAAATTGGATAAGTTTAGATTTAGGAAAGACTTGGGTAAATACTGGTTCAGTAACAGGGTTGTTGATTTGTGGAACCAATTGCCGCGTAACATTGTGGAGGTGGGGTCCCTCGATTGTTTCAAGCACGGGTTGGACAAGTATATGAGTGGGATTGGGTGGTTATAGAATAGGAGCTGCCTCGTATGGGCCAATAGGCCTTCTGCAGTTACCTTTGTTCTTATGTTCAGATAAAGTGTTTGGCTGATCCATAGCGTCTGATCAATGTGCTTCCAATGTTGGGATTAATACACTTCTCAATGTGGTTTATGTATGTTATTAGCGAGAGACTCTCGACCCTTATCCCTGAGGGAACTCGCTCATTCCTGAGAGCCTCGCTCATTAATGAGGGCTAATCTCGCTAATCGCTGACGGACCCGGTTGGTTCCCAAGGGACACCGCTCATCTATGAGTTTGGAAGCCGAGTTGAACGGAAGAGATCTTTGAAAGCCTTGGCAGGTTGTGGAAAGGGAAATGGGAGTTTCTGTGCTACATATGATATACATAAGAACTATGAGACCTCTTATCAATTATGCTGCACTTTTCATTTCTTATTTTAGTAAAAGTAGAATAAACAAATTGGAGAAGGTACAAAACGGAGTCATACAAATAATTATTGGATCCCCATAAAATGCTGTTTGAGATGACAGCATTTTTTAAATGAATTTACAGTATTGGGGATTGAGGTTCCGAGATAAATGTAGCTTCGGCGATTAGATTAATGAGATGTGGGAGAGCTAATGAACTAATCCACCCAGTTCAAAAGGCGGAAAGAAATCAACAATGTTTTATGGGCTATTCATGCCCGTGCCACCTCTTGGGTGGCTTAATCTTTATCAATCAACAATGTTCACGGGAGACATCTCCCGTCACGCAGGGTGCCGTCGCACCTCCACAGATCTCCAGTATCAGTTCTTGATACTGGTAATGGCTCAAAAGGGCCACCACTTACGGGCTATTCATGCCCGTGCCACCTTTTGGGTGGCTTAATCTTCATCAATCAATCAATCAATCAACAATGTTGTGATAAAGTTTTGATGACACATCAGAAAATGAAGAAACGACAACGTTTCGGTCCGTCCAGGAACATAAGAACATAAGAACATAAGAACAAACGTAACTGCAGAAGGCCTATTGGCCCATACGAGGCAGCTCCTATTCTATAACCACCCAATCCCACTCATATACTTGTCCAACCCGTGCTTGAAACAATCGAGGGACCCCACCTCCACAATGTTACGCGGCAATTGGTTCCACAAATCAACAACCCTGTTACTGAACCAGTATTTACCCAAGTCTTTCCTAAATCTAAACTTATCCAATTTATATCCATTGTTTCGTGTTCTGTCCTGTGTTGATACTTTTAATACCCTATTAATATCCCCCCGGTTATGTCCATTCATCCACTTGTAAACCTCTATCATGTCACCCCTAACTCTTCGCCTTTCCAGTGAATGCAACTTAAGCTTTGTTAATCTTTCTTCATATGAAAGATTTCTAATTTGGGGAATTAACTTAGTCATCCTACGCTGGACACGTTCAAGTGAATTTATATCCATTCTATAATATGGCGACCAAAACTGAACTGCATAATCTAAATGGGGCCTAACTAGAGCAAGATATAGCTTGAGAACCACACCAGGTGTCTTGTTACTAACGCTGCGATTAATAAATCCAAGTGTCCGATTTGCCTTATTACGAACATTTATGCATTGATCCTTTTGTTTTAAATTCTTACTAATCATAACTCCCAGATCCCTTTCGCAATCCGACTTCGCAATCACAACACCATCTAGCTCGTATCTTGTAACTCTATCATCATTACCTAACCTCAGAACTTTACATTTATCAGCATTAAACTGCATCTGCCAATCCTTTGACCATTTCAAAACCCTATCTAGATCAACTTGAAGTGATAGTGAGTCCTCCTCCGAATTAATTTCCCTACCGATTTTCGTATCATCGGCAAATTTGCAAATGTTGCTACTCAAACCTGAATCTAAATCATTTATATATATTATAAACAACAGAGGTCCCAGGACAGAGCCTTGAGGCACTCCACTTACAACATTTTCCCACTCTGACTTGATTCCATTTATACTAACTCTCTGTTTCCTTTGGTATAGCCATGCCCTAATCCAGCTTAATATAGCACCCCCAATACCATGAGACTCTATTTTTTTAATCAGTCTTTCATGTGGCACTGTATCAAAAGCTTTGCTAAAGTCAAGGTATACAACATCGCAATCCTTACCACTATCAACTGCCTCAACAATGCTAGAATAAAAAGATAACAAATTTGTTAAACATGAACGGCCATTTATAAAACCATGTTGCGACTCAATTATTAATTTATGTTTTTCAAGATGAAGACGAATTTTATTTGCTATTATAGATTCGAGTAACTTTCCCACAATAGACGTTAGGCTAATTGGTCGATAGTTAGACGCAAGTGATCTATCTCCTTTCTTAAAAACTGGTATCACATTAGCAACTTTCCAAAACTCTGGCACTCTGCCTGACTCTATTGATTTATTAAATATGGTTGACAGTGGGTCACAAAGCTCCTCTTTGCATTCTTTAAGCACCCTAGCAAACACTTCATCCGGCCCTGGGGATTTGTTTGGTTTGAGTTTTACTATTTGTTTAAGAACATCCTCCCTGGTAACTGCTAAACTCGTCAACCTGTCCTCGTCCCCACCCACATAGACTTGTTCGGCTGAAGGCATATTGTTAAGTTCCTCTTTAGTAAATACAGATACAAAATATTTATTAAAAATACTACTCATCTCTTCATCACTATCTGTTATTTGACCTGTCTCAGTTTTTAATGGACCTATCCTTTCCCTAGTCTTAGTACGATATAACTGAAAAAACCCTTTAGGATTTGTCTTTGCTTGCCCTGCTATGCGAACTTCATAGTTTCTTTTTGCTTTCCTTATCTCTTTTTTAACATTTCTAACCAGTTGTACGAATTCCTGTTCTAAAGTGACCTCCCCATTTTTAATCCTTTTGTACCAAGCTCTCTTTTTACCTATAAGGTTCTTCAAATTCTTTGTTATCCACTTTGGGTCATTAGTATACGATCTATTCAATTTGTATGGTATACTACGTTCCTGTGCTTTGTTTAGAATATTCTTAAATAAGTTATATATTGAATCCACATCGAAATCCCCATTTAAGTCACCTATCGCTGGGTTCATGTCTCGCTCCAAGACCGGCCCACACCCCATACCCAAGCCTTTCCAATCAATTTGACCCAAAAAATTTCTTAGGCTATTAAAATCAGCTTTTCGAAAATCTGGCACTTTAACAGAATTTTCTCCTACTGGTCTATTCCATTCTATGCTAAATCTGATTTCTTTGTGATCACTGCTCCCTAGCTCACTCCCTATTTCGATGTCATTAATTTGCGTTTCCCTGTTAGTTAACACTAAATCTAAAATATTATTTTCCCGTGTTGGTTCCTTAATGTGTTGCGTAAGAAAGCAATCGTCAATTAATTCTAGAAAATATCATCATCATCATCATATGATTTCATAAGGGATAGGGAGTGCTGACTTTGACATCGGCACCGTAGTTACTATTATTACATATCGCTTAACTGACGATGTCTCTTCAACGCAGGCTGAACTTCAAGCTGCATTATCAGGCTTAAAAGAAGTAGTTATGGGTAGTATAGATGCCTGTTTCCTATTGATCGTGAAAAAAGTGTTGACTAAAATATTAGAAGACATGGGGCCAGATTCACGAAGCAGTTACCCAAGCACTTACAAACCTATACATCTTTTCTCAGTCTTTGGCAGCTTTATTTACATTTATTAAACAGTTTACAAGCATGAAAACTTTCCAGTCAACTGTTGTTATTGTTATAAACAGCCTCCGGGAGTTATATAGTTTTGTAACTGGTTACAATACCTTGATAAATAATAAGGCGAAAGTTGTACGAGGAAATTTTAATGGAAGTATAATATAATATTTATTTATTGGTACTTTTATATATATATATATATATATATATATATATATATATATTGGTAGCAGTCTTTCCTGTAGACATATATTATTAAATATGACCGAAAAAGTAAGATTAATAACTCTAACACGAATTTTTTCTATCTTTCTTGCGTTTCTTTTCACTGTTGATGGTAATTCAAAGATCAATTCTCCAAAATTCAAAATTTATTCAATATAAAAATAATTCAAGATCAAATTCTCCAAAATAAAAATGAATTTTGGAGAATTGATCTTTGAATTACCATCAACAGTGAAAAGAAACGTAAGAAAGATATATATATATATATATATATATATATATATATATATATATATATATATATATATATATATATATATATATATATATATATATATATATATATAGGTGGAGTTATGTATGTGATAACAAAGATAAAATATGGAAGTTAATGTTAAACTTTCAGATATAATTGTTATGATTTTAGCAATATAAATAGTTTCCAAGACCTTTAAGTTTAGACTAAAAGCACAAGAAGTCAGTAGAGGGAAGTGGGTAAGTGAGGGTGTGGGTGTGGGTAGGTGTGGGTGGGTGGGTGAGTGTAGGTGTGTGGGTGAGTGTGGGTGGATGGGTGAGTGAGGATGGGTGAGGGTGAGTGTGGGTGGTGAGGGCTTCACAGTGACCTGCCACAGCTGAGGACACAGCCTGCCTCAGGGACACACCAACAGTGTAAGAGACACCCACATTATCACACATGCGGTGTTCAGGGCGTCCTGGGGTGTTCCTCGCCTACTGAACCTTGCACCTCCAACATCTAATAAAGTGAACAACATAGATCTTAGACCAAAGGATCTTAGACCTCTTATGTTTTAAATAACTTCCAACAGTTGCATGAAGGTTGGAAATTGCAAATGAAGAATTTACCTGCAGGTAAGTCTTTCTTAGCATGTTGCAATCAAGTTCTATTGGTGTTTGATAGCTTACAGTACCAAAGCAAGAGGAATTTTATGCACTGGATCTCCTTACAAACTGTAGAAATGTCAACATTGGCAGACAATAAGGCATTTAATAACGTCCTCAAAATCCTATTCAACATTTTGCCTTGATAAAACATCAAATTAAACTCTCGTAAACAATAATCCAATAACTTAAAAGTTGGAGCAAAGTTTGAAAGCTCTATTTATTATGGTTTAAACTGCATTAGTGACTTGAATACTAATACTGGCGACTACTTCACTACCACGACAACTTCCCCATACACGAGCGGCCAGCTTGGTTCTAATGGTGTGATGTTGCTGGTATTCCCTGGTAATACTTTGTCGTCTTCATCACTCGTCCTCGTCGTCAGCGTCGTCGTCCGGGTAGTCGCTCTCCTTCTTCTTCTTCTTCTTACTTTTCCTCTTTGTCCTCCTCTTCTTCTTGCCCTTCTGCTTGGGCGTCTCCACCTCCTCCACGTCCAGCCCGGACTCTTCCTCTTCTTTCTTTTCTTCCGTCTGTGGTATGAGGCTATTATTACTCTCCCTTCTCTGTCTGGCTGGCTGTCTGTCTGTCTGTCTGTCTGTCTGTCTGTCTGTCTGTCTGTCTGTCTGTCTGTCTGTCTGTCTGTCTGTCTGTCTGTCTGTCTGTCCGTCCGTTAGTCTCTCTCTCTGCTTCTCTCTCTCTGTTTCTCTCTACTTCTCTCTCTCTGTTTCTCTCTGCTTCTCTCTCTCTCTCTCTCTCTCTCTCTCTCTCTCTCTCTCTCTCTCTCTCTCTCTCTCTCTCTCTCTCTCTCTCTCTCTCTCTCACTGTTTCTCTCTCACTGTCTCTCTCTCTCTCTCTCTCTCTCTCTGTTTCTCTCTCACCATTTCTCTCCCTGTATCTCTCTCACTGTTTCTCTCTCACTGTTCTCTCACTGTTTCTCTCTCTCTGTTTCTCTCTCATTGTCTCTCTCTCTCTCTCTCACCTGGATCCTGGTGTAGTTCATATAGAGGTAGTCCTTGCAGAGGGCGTCACAGAGCTCCTCGCCACACTCCCTGCAGGTGGGGAACCTTGTCTCCGGCAGCGACCCGCGACCCGGCACCACCTGTAGTGGTGGTGATCACTAGGGTGCACTCTCCTATTTCATTATCACTCCCCCTCTAACACCACAGTGTTACAGGGGGAAGTACTAAACCATTACGACTATATAGCACTGAGAAGGGATCAGGGTTTGGGATGGGACGGGGAAAAGGAATGGTGCCCAACCACTTGGACGGTCGGGGATTAAACGCCGACCTGCATGAAGTGAGACCGTGACTCTACCGTCCAGCCCAAGTGGTTGGGCCAGGGGCAGTCAAAGCGGTGTTACAGGGGATTACTCACTGTGAGGATAGAGACAGCTTTCTGTAACGTATACAAGTAGTTTACTGTGAAGATACAAGCAGCTTACTGTGAAGGTAGAAGCAGGTTACTGTGAGGATTCAGGCAGGTTACTATGAGGTTACAGGATTTTTTTATGATACAGGACTCACTGTAGCCAGAGAAGGCTCGCTGGATGCATCACAGTGATAAATTTCATGCATTGATATGTATTGGAAGCACCTGACCTAGTCTCTGTAAGCAGACCTGTTATTCAACAGCATCTATGTTTCAATGACGTCGTGCAGCAGGCTGTGGCAAGCTCTTAAATAAATTTACAAAGTAGTCTGAAGCAGCGCACTGTAGCGAGAGTCCGTGCGACCTCTAGGAACTCTGCCTATACATTTCCAATGTCGTGAGAACAAATTCAGCTGGGAACATTTGTAAATTTATATAAATTTAAAGCAAATCATCCATTAAACTCCCTTATGTATTTGCCCGGGGGATTGGACACATGGGTTTGATTCACTATCAACTCAATATACATTGTATTTATTTTCCCTTACACAACCACTTGAAAATCCCGGTCGATAAGTGTATGATGAAACATTCAAAAATTTACTTTTTCTCGGTAAAATATTGATGTAAATTAGGTGCGACTTTATATATAGGGAGATACGGCAAAGGCACCAAGTTGTGAGGCCTGGAGGCCCTCAGTGTATAAGGAAGTGCTATCGACAAGGCAGGCCCTTGGTTACGTGCGGGACATTAGGCTATCAGGAGGCTATCACCAGATATGAAGAAGCCAACTGGTGAAGCAGTCAAGCTACTAGTCAACACATACAACAACATTATGCTACAACTACATCACATACTGAACATATCGACGTCACATTAATATAAATGATAGATAATTGTCAAAATTAGGTAATTACAGACATAATTTACAGGCCACCCGCTCAGTCATTTAGGTCATTATAGTGGGTAATTTTATTTTACCAACATTAAAATGGGATGGCTATTAAAAAACTGTTGAAAAGCGAGCTGTTTTAAATAGTTGACAAGCCTATTTCACACGTAAATTTCCATAAATATAACATTTAATATTTAATAATTGTGTTGGGGGACAGGCAGCAGTGTATATGATTGATAAAGATTAAGCCACACACACAAAAGGTGGCACGGGCATGAATAACTCGTAAAAAGCAGTGTATATAGAAGTATATAGACATGCTAGGCTTATATCGAGGTCCTACCTCCACAGGTGGAATTACTGACACCGCCCAGGATGCAGCTCCACAGCAAGCTGACTAACTACTGACTGCTAAATGACCTTACTGCTAAAAATGCATTAGGTAATAGGAATCGTGCTCTACCATTTCTATCCCGCCCGGGATTCGAACGCTGAATTCTCGATTGTGAATCGAGAACCCGACTGTACTACCGAAACCGCTTTTACTACACGTAAATATTTACCAAATAATGCTGTAGTTATGATGAGTAGAAGTGATCATTGTCAGTTACATTCATTATATAATGTAAAAATAAAACAACTGTTCACTTACAGTATTTAAAACCAATTATGAGAGGCTAGCAAAAATGAGCAGAAAGCATTTAGGGAAAAAATCATGTAATGTGGAGCTTTAGAGCTGTAACTCGGACTATATAATGTCAATTACTTACTTCTTGGTTTATATTTTAAACTGGTTAAAGGTAGTACGACATTTCGTTGTAGTCGGGAGGTCCTGCCACAATTTAGAAACATTTATTTGCATGATAGTTCTGCCTTAGTCGAGTCGTACTCCGGGAAAATCTAATAGATACTTGGAGGCGATGAGTCACAATAACGTGGCTGAAGTATGTTGACCAGACCACACACTAGAAAATGAAGGGACGACGACGTTTCGGTCCGTCCTGGACCATTCTCAAGTCGATTGAGAATGAAGTACTGACTTGAGAATGGTCCAGGACGGACCGAAACGTCGTCGTCCCTTCATTTTCTAGTGTGTGGATTGGTCAATAGATACTTTTTTCCCTGTAATGTTGGCCTGTTGCAGCGATCTGTGGTGCGGTTATTTCTTAGGTTAGAAATGGCACTGCACTTCAAAACTGAAGATATATAACACATTTGAGAAAGTGTGTAATAGTAATTTTAATTTAGCATGTTCAAGGAGTTAACTAAAGTTGTTGCATGCTGTCTGCGTTAGGGTTTATTATTCTAATTGCTTGTGTTGAGTAATTATGTGTCTGAGAAAGTTTTGAGTCATTGAGATATAGATAGATGAATAAGTCATACAGTGGAATCAGTGCTTAGCGAGGGTCATAATCCCCGATTTTAGGAAGTAATAATATAGTTTAAGACAGTTTTCTACGGCAATTTAAGATCAACATGTTGTGTAAGTGTACATCTAAGAATTTCCAAAACTTTTCACTCTCCATCTGGGAGTCATGTATTCTTAGAAGTGTTTGGCTGGTGGATATATTTCCCGACAATGTGCATGTTGTGAGCGTTGAAGCCAAGTTAATGGTCAACCATTTTAAGTAGACTTGTAACTATAGTCACTGTCACTATAGTCACTGTCACTATAGTCACTACTTGTCACTGTAATGTCGTGTAGGACGTAGCTGAGAACACAAAGGTTGTGTTATCAATAATATTGGATTTGGGTATCGGGAAACATGCTTTCCTTTCGTCACACTGAGGTCCAATAAATATTACAATATATAAATAATAATAAAAAAAACCTTGAGAGTGAATTGGTGTTGACCTTGACAATTCGCCCGGTCCAGTCCTTGCCCTCGGCCAGGCGCTCGGCCTCTTCCCGCACTCTCTGTAGCTGTAAGCGACCCATCTCCACGTACCTGTACAAGCACATACACCCATGTACTGCTTCTCCGTGTGGCTACTGTCGCAGACTCTCGCAGGGGTATTCTGACAGCCTCTGGAAGGGGTACTGCCACAGCCTCTCGAGGGTATGTATGAACAAAGCTCTACCCCGCAAGCACAACCAGATGAGTACAAAGGGAGCCAGCAACGGGGCACTAATCTACATATATATATATACATGTATGTATGAGAGTGTGTACATGTATATATAACATTAATAATTGTGTAACTAGCGTCAAAAGATTGTTATTTGCCTAGCTAAATGAACTAGAGGGTTCAGTTCCTGAACCGACCAATTAAATAACCGACTTGATTACCTACACTATTGCTTATCTTGGAGTATTTATCCTGTACAATTTATATAAATGAATTACACTTGACGAGTGTATTGAACAAACACATTTTAACAAAATTAATTCTGTATACATTTTGTATTACCATATTACAATAATTATGTTAAATAACTCTCTTATGTTGTATTTCTCTTATTATTTAATTACTGGCGTCTTATAGTCAGGAACAGGAAGTGTATTAGGCTTATCCAGGTCTTCTGAGGCCAACAACTAACATTGCCGGCATGCAACCCACAACAGTAGACTGATTGATTGATGAAGATTAAGCCACCCAAAAGGTGGCACGGGCACGAATAGCCCGTAAGTGGTGGCCCTTTTGAGCCATTACCAGTATCAATAGAAGACACTGGAGATCTGTGGAGGTGCGGCTGCACCCTGCGTGACGGGAGATGTCTCCCGTAACAGTTGATTGACTCCCCGGTACCTAGGTACTGCTAAGTGAACAGAGGCGTCAGGTGAAAGGTGACGTGCCAAAATATTTCGCCCTGACCGGGAATTGAACTCGGGTCCAATTAGTGTTGTTATGATTATTATTAGTAAATTGATTAAAATACTAATATGCTCATGCTTCCAATGATGCCATTTGATGCCAAGTATTAGGACACAGTATGTGTTTTAAGGTGTCAGGAGCAGAGGTGCCATGGGCACAATCAGAGAACACTGTATGAACATCAGAGGTCCACGGTTGTTCAACGTCGTACCAGCGAGCATCAGAAATATTACACGAACAACCGTGGACATCTTCAAGAGAAAACTAGATTGTTTCCTTCAAGGAGTGCCGGACCAACCGGGCTGTGGTGGGTATGTGGGCCTGCGGGCTGCTCCAAGCAACAGCCTGGTGGACCAAACTCTCACAAGTCAAGTCTGGCCTCGGGCCGGGCTTGGGGAGTAGAAAAACTCTCAGAACCCCATCAAGCAGGTATCAACCAGGTCAAGGCTGCTACGTTCAAGAACACCAAATGCGGGAGAGGAAAATGTGGGACATTTGACTAGCCGCCGGCTTCCTGTCCTCGTCGAAGCCACTAATGAGTTTTTTTTTTTAACCAAGACTAGGATTTTTAAGGGTTGTCAAATGATGTACCTGGTGAAACTGCAAGCAAGAGCTGTTATCCTACCTCAACTCATCTGAAGCCTGCTCCTAGAAACTCATTTATTTCATGAGAATGTACTTAGAAACTATCACACAGGGAACTATCATAAAGAAACCTGGTGAACAGGCAGCAATAGCTGTAATCCTGCCTCAGCTATGTTGAAACCTTTCTTTCCTCTGGAGAGAGAGAGAGAGAGAGAGAGAGAGAGAGAGAGAGAGAGAGAGAGAGAGAGAGAGAGAGAGAGAGAGAGAGAGAGAGAGAGAGAGTATACACAACACCTAAGGTATACCTGGAGAATATCTCCTCCTCGCATTTGTTCTTGGGTCGAGCTGTGGTCAGCATCCTCCAGTCAATATCCACCTGTAATAACATTAACAATCACAACCAGTTGTTACGGCATACAGTGCTGACAATGGTCAACACAAACATCACAATATATATATATATATATATATATATATATATATATATATATATATATATATATATATATATATATATATATATATATATATATATATATATATATATATATATATATATTCCAATTTTCTATCGTCATCAAACGATAGAATATACCAATATTCTACGACTACGAAAACCTTTCTATGACGATAGAAAAACAATTTTCTATCGTCAATAAATGGAATATTCTTTTCTTATCTTCAATGATCGTTCGCATGTTGATAAATTTGTTTTGCATTTTCACTCTAAACATTTAAAACCGACTTATTTATGATATTGAAGTAAATTATAAATAGCATGTCTTGACTCGCTAATTCCTGATATTGGTGATAACTGATAACATTTTTTTATATTTCCGCCGATAATAAAACCTATATTCACGAGATTAGGCTTATATTATCTAAGTTGTGTCCTAAACTATTTCAGTTGAATACAATTAAAACTGTTAAATAGGGCATTTGTTCTGATTAAAAAAATGTCGATGCTGGAATTAAGTTCTTATGCGCGTTTTTTTTTTTTTAATAAAAGGCTGTTCCAAACCTGTTTTACTGAATATCGAGGAAAACTACTAATATAAAATTTTGTACCTATCGGTAAAATGATCACAGTTCCTGAAGCTACTAATTATGCAAAATTACCTTAAAAGGGGACTGTTAGCTGTCATAATTATGCAAATTACCTTAAAAGGGGACTATTAGCTGTCATATTAGAAAGGAACTTAGGAATATTCTCAAACATTCCTTTCAGCAAAATAACTTTTAGTTTGAGCTTGCCAATAATCATAACACTAGAAAGTATTTAAAAATACACAGATCCTTTAGCCTTTCCCCTCAGATCTGGTGTTGTCGATCTTCGTAAATTTTTGAACTAATGTTCAATACGTGGGGAATACCTCACGAGTAAGGGGGGGAGGGTAGAAATAGCCTAAGCTACTCTATCCCTTTGAGATGTATTTCTTTCTTATCTCAATAAACATACTTGAACTTGAACTTGAACCTCACGAGGACTTAAAACAATACTTTGGCATGTATTGATGAGGACGGACTCCGTATCCCCGGAGTCCGTCCTCATCAATACATGCCAAATGTTTGTTAATCCAGCCGCCAGACCCCCTGTTTACGACTAAACGGTTTACACACAATTCACAACTGATGATGTTGAACCATTTCTCGAACAGTGCCTCGCTGACGACCTCTGTTCGAGCCTCACGCTGTATGATTCACCCATGTAATTTATAGGAGGAGCCGGTCGGCTGAGCGGACAGCACGCTGGATTTGTGATCCTGTGGTCCTGGGTTCGATCCCAGGCGCGGCGAGAAACAATGGACAGAGTTTCTTTCACCCTATGCCCCTGTTACCTAGCAGTAAAATAGGTACCTGGGTGTTAGTCAGCTGTCACGGGCTGCTTCCTGGGGGTGGAGGCCTGGTCGAGGACCGGGCCGCGGGGACACTAAAAAGCCCCGAAATCATCTCAAGATAACCTCGAGATGTACGTCAAATACAAATAATCGCCAACCTAAATAACAGCAACCTAACCTATGCCTAACTATACATAGAACTTTAATATATAACATAAATATATAAATGAGAAGAAACTTATTTTTCATACACAATATGTTAAAAGTGATGAACATGTCTTGGTGGACGGCCGCCGCTTTAACGAGCCTAGCGAGGGGGGAGCGGTTCAGACCAGCTGGCTCGTTACAGACATTAAGACACTTACACACATTAGACGAAAGAAAACATATAGTTTACATGTTTTCCAATTATCAGTTATTATTATTATTATTATTATTATTATTATTAGTAGTAGTAGTAGTAGTAGTAGTAGTAATAGTAGTAGTAGCATTATTAATACTGTTACCTGGTAGAACTCGTGCATGTTGAGTCCCTGCATGGAGGGTGGGAGGGGGTCGGCATAGCCGGCCTGGGGCGGCTCCTCGCTCCTGGCTGGGGTGTGGCGCCACCCCCCAGGTCCGTCACCCATCACCTCATCTGGACGCACCTGTGGTGAGAGAAATGAACATGAGAGGTGAGGGAAGGGGTTCTAGGGAGACGAGTGGTATCACAATAATTATACCTGCGGCCCTGCAGCAACTGACATACACTGATGTTACACGTTTACCAGCTGACACAGACATCTCCGTATAGCTTACACTCTAGAGGTTGGGTCAGGAATCCTTATACCCAATGTCCGTGAAGAGCTCTTGCATGTAACGTACCCGCTGGCCGTGTGACGCCGCTTACACACCAGTTATGCAAGCCAACGTTCTCAGGTGAGTGGCCAGTATCAGTTGTTGATGATAAGTGGTATCAGTAGGTTTAGCGTTGATGATGATATAACGGTCTCTAGAACAATTATCAAACTGTGTACACCATTCCTTATGTTAATAGTGAACTAACATAACTATTATGTTATTTTATAACATCTTCAGTCAAATCTAACGAGGTCAAGAATTTATAGATAACATATACTAAAAACAATTAATATTTAGTTGGAAATAATATACCACAAATATTAGTGACTGTGAAGAATGTGTGAAGCAAGAGTGATTACCATTGAGGAACGTGTGGTGGCCAGCACCTGATGCATCAGTGTCAGGATCCCATCAACACAGTTATGGAGAGACTTAAGTAATCTATCTTCTACAGCGACAGTGTTGGCAAGAAAAACTCTGCAACACAAGTAGCATTATACCTTCCTCTGTCGCTCTGGCAGCAACACCACCTTACCTTGAGGTGCTTCCGGGGCTTAGCGTCCCCGCGGTCCGGTCGTCGACCAGGCCTCATGACATCTGACAGACCACAACAACATCTGCAGCCCAGCATCCATAATAATTTCTCTTCTGAAATCGACTCTAAATAGATCGACGTAACTTGGGATGCCGATATCATCGGTGTAACCATACATGGAGAAGGTTACAAGGCTAGGTCGTTCCAAATATCTCAAGCGCTACATTCTCGGCCCTTTTAAAATGCCCTACCTACATTGTCTCTCACTCAAACCACACTCACCTTCTCTGGGCGTATCTTGTACTCCGGGACCTTCTCAAAAGCCTTGTCAAAGTCTTCCTTTGTTTTGATCTTGGTGCGGAAGAGGTCGAGGGCCTGGGCTGGCGCCTTCACCACCGTCAACATGTCCTCCAGTTTGATCGTCATCCTGCAGGTGTTAGATACAGCTCAGAGTAGTTCCTCAGGAACACATCAAGGACAATAAAGACCAGGGATGCAAGGTGATAAATGTAAGGTATTAAGCGAGATGAGAGGAAGGAACTGAGAGAATCAGGAAAGAGAACCAAGATGAAAAGATAACTAGAAAGCCAATACAAATTCGAAGTTGTGGACCCAAGTGAGATAAGCAGTTGGTTGAAATTAGATAATGAATCAAAATGATGCTGATGTAACGATAGGATGAAAAGATGTGGAAGCCAGTATTACAGGCACGATGGGGAGAGGGGAGGGAGGGAGGGAAAGGGGGGGGGGGGGGGGGAGGGAGGGAGGGAGGGAGAGAGAGAGAGAGAGAGAGAGAGAGAGAGAGAGAGAGAGAGAGAGAGAGAGAGAGAGAGAGAGAGAGAGAGAGAGAGAGAGAGAGAGAGAGAGAGAGAGAGAGAGAGAGAGAGAGAGAGAGAGAGAGAGAGAGAGGATCACTACAAACAGTAATTTGTAGTGATTTTGAAGCAAACTTTTTATTTTCAAGCAAACAAACTAAAAAGTAAATTTTCTTGTAGTATAACCTATGTTAACCTTCAAGATATTGATATCAGAGAGGAATTAAGAAATCTTATAGCATTTTGTACTATTATTGAGGAATACAATATAAAAAATACTGTAGCACAATTTTTACCTTGCTGTTGTTGGCAATAAACGTTTTTACGACGGCAGGAAAATCAGGTTCACACGTACAAGTATGAAGATGAATGTCTTGTCTCTGCACTCCTTATAGTTGATCGCCTAAAGCAGTTACTTTAACACAAAACATGCAGATTCTAAAATTGATCTAGAGTCCTTCGTTAAGTTACACTAAGGCCCTTCGCTATGTGTTGATAACGCATTTACTATAATTGTTAATTCGAACAGGATAATAAATACTCTTTAAAATGAAACACAACTTGCAATAGTGCAGCACAAACACGCCATCAAACCTGGAAGCACTGTTCACTCCAACGTTCCGTTGTGTATGGCGTCCCTAGCAACCACTCTAGCAACGGGGAGCTTCTGTTGTTGTTCGTGAATCCACTTGTGTCGTGGATGGCAAACAAAATTAAATTATTTGACGTTTAGAATCCATCTAGGTAATGAGTTTACATATATTATAATAACACCAGCAAATTCGTAATCTAGCAGTGGCTCATATAACTGAGTAAGATACACAAGGGTCGCCATAGGCCTCCAAACACTCTTCAATTCAAATTAATTTGGATGCAAGATAACTAAAAATGGCGGGTAAGAACTAACTAAAGTCTTCGAATTATGGAGATCTTATAGGCAGACAGACAGAGATCAAGACAGGGAGATAGAGAAGAGACAGAGACGGAGATAGAGACGGAGATAGAGTGATAGACGGTAAAATAATATCACATATCTTTAATATGGCCATTGGAACACAAGCCCGGGCAATACAACAAAATGCCCTTGACTTATTATTTTGTGGCTGTAACGAAGACTTCCCCGACGCTAAATGTATAAATTAACGCTTGTGCTAAGCCGTTCATAGAACAGTTTCTTCTTCTTCGAAGACGGCGGGTAAAATGTCCACAAATAAACCCAAAGTTGTGGTGCGAGGCTTCAGACACCATCTAGCCTCCACCAAAGTCTAAACAATTTTATACTCGTTGGTTTTAAAATCCAAGGTTTCTAGTTATACAGACATTTAGGAAATTAAATGTAATATTGCAAGGTCTCTATATTTTTGAGTTTTACAGTTTTTTGTTATATTAATAAGTATACAATTATGTATAATGCAGCATATATATATATATATATATTAGTATATTTTGGTAGCAGTCTTTCCTGTAGACATATTTTATTAAATATGACCGAAAAAGTAAGATTAATAATTCTAACACGAATTTTCTCAATCTTTCGTACATTATGCTTCACTGTTGGAGGTAAATCAAAAATCACTTCTCCAAAATTCATTTTTATTTCTAGTCTGACGCGACACGGGCGCGTTTCGTAAAACTTATTACATTTTCAAAGACTTCACAAATACACAACTGATTAGAACTTGCATTTCCCTGATTTTATATCTACTTTTGAGTGAGGTGGGAAGGGTGATGTGGCATTACATTTGAGTGAGGTGGGAAGGATGATGTGGCATTAGAGGATATTAATAGGGTATTAAAAGTATCAACACAAGACAGAACACGAAACAATGGATATTGAATAGAAGTGTTTGTAGAAAGCCTATTGGTCCATATTTCTTGATGCTTCTATATTGGAGCGGAGTCTTGAGGTGGGTAGAATATAGTTGTGCAATAATTGGCTGTTGATTGCTGGTGTTGACTTCTTGATGTGTAGTGCCTCGCAAACGTCAAGCCGCCTGCTATCGCTGTATCTATCGATGATTTCTGTGTTGTTTACTAGGATTTCTCTGGCGATGGTTTGGTTATGGGAAGAGATTATATGTTCCTTAATGGAGCCCTGTTGTTTATGCATCGTTAAACGCCTAGAAAGAGATGTTGTTGTCTTGCCTATATACTGGGTTTTTTGGAGCTTACAGTCCCCAAGTGGGCATTTGAAGGCATAGACGACGTTAGTCTCTTTTAAAGCGTTCTGTTTCGTGTCTGGAGAGTTTCTCATGAGTAGGCTGGCCGTTTTTCTGGTTTTATAGTAAATCGTCAGTTGTATCCTCTGATTTTTGTCTGTAGGGATAACGTTTCTATTAACAATATCTTTCAGGACCCTTTCCTCTGTTTTATGAGCTGTGGAAAAGAAGTTCCTGTAAAATAGTCTAATAGGGGGTATAGGTGTTGTGTTAGTTGTCTCTTCAGAGGTTTTTAACGTACATACAACGTTATCCCTACAGACAAAAATCAGAGGATACAACTGACGATTTACTATAAAACCAGAAAAACGGCCAGCCTACTCATGAGAAACTCTCCAGACACGAAACAGAACGCTTTAAAAGAGACTAACGTCGTCTATGCCTTCAAATGCCCACTTGGGGACTGTAAGCTCCAAAAAACCCAGTATATAGGCAAGACAACAACATCTCTTTCTAGGCGTTTAACGATGCATAAACAACAGGGCTCCATTAAGGAACATATAATCTCTTCCCATAACCAAACCATCGCCAGAGAAATCCTAGTAAACAACACAGAAATCATCGATAGATACAGCGATAGCAGGCGGCTTGACGTTTGCGAGGCACTACACATCAAGAAGTCAACACCAGCAATCAACAGCCAATTATTGCACAACTATATTCTACCCACCTCAAGACTCCGCTCCAATATAGAAGCATCAAGAAATATGGACCAATAGGCTTTCTACAAACACTTCTATTCAATATCCATTGTTTCGTGTTCTGTCTTGTGTTGATACTTTTAATACCCTATTAATATCCTCTAATGCCACATCATCCTTCCCACCTCACTCAAATGTAATGCCACATCACCCTTCCCACCTCACTCAAAAGTAGATATAAAATCAGGGAAATGCAAGTTCTAATCAGTTGTGTATTTGTGAAGTCTTTGAAAATGTAATAAGTTTTACGAAACGCGCCCGTGTCGCGTCAGACTAGAAATAAAAATGAATTTTGGAGAAGTGATTTTTGATTTACCTCCAACAGTGAAGCATAATGTACGAAAGATTGAGAAAATTCGTGTTAGAATTATTAATCTTACTTTTTCGGTCATATTTAATAAAATATATATATATATATATATATATATATATATATATATATATATATATATATATATATATATATATATATATATATATATGTATATATATGTATATATAGGGGTTCTTATTATTATTATTATTATATAGCCTAGACAAGGTCGATGCTCGTCCTAAACACTCTCGGTACACACTTCAAGGCTGCCCTACATATCACACTCCCATGACAAGGATCACCACACTCTTCGTGTTGGCACGTGGCTACTGCGGATTCTGGTCAACAGGACCACAAACATCAACAACGGTTAGTTAGCTTAGTTAATTTAATATGCACTCTATATACCCATCCTGCGAGTGGTGGTGGGAAGGATAGTTACATAATAATCTCAGGAAGTACATACATTACAGACAGTAGGCTGATGTATGAGCCTATGGAGCCTCTGTAAGTCTTTCCACTACCGCCCACAAGATGGGTATGGGGTGCATAATAAATGAACTAAACTAACTAACTAACAGTAGGCTACCTTGTAATAATTTACTATGATTTTGAACAACATATAACTTTGGATATATGGAGGTATTTCTTGAACATTGGTGATATAGTTATCTCTAAAGTCTTTGCAAACAGTGGTGCGGAGTGTGTGGATAGTTGTGTTGAGTTTACATTTGGCCGGGTGTACACCATCGTATAATGCAAACTCACAGATATACATATAACAATCTAAATCGAGTAGTAGTAAGATGTATATAGGAGCCCACTGTACCCAGCGGCCCTACTGCTGGAGAGGCTTCTAACTGTGTTCATAATCTGTGTACAGTCTAGTCATTAAAAGTTTCGAGTCTCTGACAACTTGTGTATTCCCCGTGGCTGTGATATATTGAACACCTGCGTGCCACAATTTACATATAAGTATATGTACACCGATTTTATATAGATAATATATTTTTAATAATAAATTTTTGTGCCACAGCTGTAATGAATTGCCTAAAATAAGTTGTGAATAAAGATTATAAAATTAAATGTAATCAATTATTTAAATAACCAAATAAGCTTATACTCTGGTGTGCAGTTAATGACGTTATATAAAATCAAATCAAATCAAATCAAATGTTTATTTAGGTCAAAGTACATACATACAAGATGAGCTACAAACATAATGTTGGATTTCTAGATATAGCTAGTGCATACAGTGCCCAATGAACAAATCCACAAGGGCCGTGATGAGGGTTCGAACCTAAGTCCAAAAGGATCCCAGACGCGCCTTAATCGACTGTGCCACGACATGGTTAAAAGAATTACAACCGGGAGTGCTACTGCCTGTGTAGTGTAGTGTAGTGTAGTTAATGCCTAATTAAACGTACAGCGTTTCGGGCAAGGTGTGGGGGAAAAAACACTTAGACTAAAACATAATACAAAGTGAAATCAAAGCAGAAAATGAATTGAAAAAGGGGAAAAAAAACATGGCGGAAATCATTAGTTAGTCAAGTTGGTCAACAAACAGCATTGTTTAAAATAACAAGACATGGGTTGACACTTAGGGGGTAAGGTAGGTTACATGGAGTTTATTAGATAGTACTTAGTTTTCTTTTCTCTATATATAATATATATATATATATATATATATATATATATATATATATATATATATATATATATATATATATATATATATATATATATATATATATATATATACATATATATAAAGAATGGTCCCCAGGTTGCATTGTTTAAATAATTGAAAAACATAAGAACTTGTATACAGTGTAGGTGGGTACAGATATTTAAAGTTCCCATTTCCTCATGATCTCACCCCTAGCGTCAGAGGGGAAATTTATTAACTAACAGACCTGAGTCACCGCCATGTATTCCCTGTGAATCATGTCCAATATAACCCTGTGAATATCACCTCCCCCAGCCTGAAGCTTCCAACGTTGTTTTGGGGCTACTGTGATATTTCAAATTAACTGTTGTGGTAGCAAAATACTGTTAAGATTTGTTCATTTACTGTTAAGAGATTACGTTGTACTACATGTGTTAGCATTGGAACATGTGAGGGGAATGGTATTAACTGGGTGCCGACCAACAGTATTTTCATGATCAATACGTGCGACAAGACCCGGCTGTTTGAGTTGCCAGTACGTCTACCTACCTTAATTAATATTTACCAAATTCATATTCGTCAAAAAGTTCAACTATTTACACGGTACTAGAAATTACATTTATAAATAGTTTTGAAAATATCAAGGAACGAATGTAGTGATGTATGCTGTATAAAATAATGATCTCAAATTGAGGTTGAACCTCAGCTATGTCGGGCCTGACCGGCGCAGTCATGAGCTGGGCTGTATATTTTCCCTAGTGCAGGGAAATTCTTCCTCCCTGCCACCTTCCCTACATGAGATCGCATATTTAGTAAACACATGAAAATATAATATAATCTCTGTATAAGTAACATGGAACTATGAAAGATAAGCTATTAATTATCTCGTTTCTTAATGTCACTTTATTTTGTCTGCATAATACCTTAAACCTCCATGTAATTAATGTTATTGAATATGACCGAAATGGTTATTTTAATGATTATAGCATGAATAATCTCTATATAACTGCTTTCGAAAAAGTCCAACACCAGGCAACAAAAATCATCCCAGAATTAAGTCGACTCTCATACCAGGAACGGTTGAGGGCCACAGGACTAAAAAACACTGTTAAGCATGACGGAGCTAATCTCACCAAAACTTTAAAAATACTGAACAGTTTGGAGGACACTGATCCAGACAACTTCTTGAAAAAATTAAATATAACACAAACAATTAAGAAGCAACGGTTTAAAGCTCATCAATTAAACCATAATGTAGAGCACGAAACAGGAAATGCTTTTTCACCCACAGGGTTATAAACCCATGGAATCGCATACCCGGCGAAGCCGTAAAACACGGTTGAATTGCAAAATGATACTATACAATCATTAGGACAAATGTGGAGGGTCCTTTGATAAGCCTCCGGCTTCCTGTCTTCGTCGAGGCCACTAAGAGGCTAAATTCGTGTAAATGTCGATTATTTTTCATTAAAAATATATTACAATAAGAAAGTTGGGAGTGCGAGTGGCAGAGATGTAGGAACTCTCAATACCATAAGGTTTATATAGCACATTTCGTCTTTGTATTAATTCGATCATCAAGATAATTTATATAAAGTCGAGAATAATGAATCACCAAGTCTTAATCTGAAACAAGTAATATGTTTGTTTACTTAAAAATCTTTTTTGTAAAACAAGTTATAATTGTAACTTATATTATGCAAATTTGTAGTATGAAACAGTTGCTACCATTATATTATTAGTTAATATCAGTTTAGTCGTAAACTCTCGCGCATTAAAGTTAACTTTTGTAGCTTATGTATTTTGTAAATGATCCATCACGTTCATTAATTATTTCCAACTCGTCTAAGAAATAAAAAAATAATAAGAAAAGTATTTCAGTATAATTATGCAAGCCCATTAATCATAGCTCCACATATGTAGGCCTATTTTAAATCTATATAGACAACTAAGGCAATAGCTTTTCACCTATATAGCTTCCATCCTTTAGTTATACCGTCTCCACAACTGTGGCATTCATTGTATCATATGATTCACTACCTTTCAAATTCACCCATTCAAAAATACAACATTATGCCTATATAATAATTTTCAGGGAAACTTCCATACCATAGCTTCCCCTAAAGGATTAGGGCCTCTAGGGAAAATGGTGGTGCACATGGCAAGTTTTCCCCTGGCATCTCCCCGGTCTTCCCTGCAGCAGTGTGGCCCGAGCGCCGGTAGTGACAGTGTGTATTAATTTGATACTTTTGGCAGCATCTGGACTAATACAGGTATTATATGTAGAGCTTTTTATATTTATGCATTGAAATGGAGGCAACCGGGGACTATAATACAGGATTTATTGTGTGAATTATTTGGAATGGGTGAGTATTGATATTTTGTGTTCAAACAGGGTGTGGACCAGTTGGCCAAAATTTAAGAAAGGGGAACAATATGGACTCTGGCTTGGTGGACATATTGCCTTATTTAGTGTCACGCTATTGAGTTCCATCTATTGGATAACGACATTACTTATTGCAAGTTTTACGCACACTGCGTATGCATAACCAAACATATATAGGCGAACAGAAAGAAACGGACACATTGGAAATTTTCCCTCGTATTAATTTCAGAATGATTGACTAAATTTGTTTTCGTATTTACGCTTGCTGAACGCCGTAAGCGATCACATCATTTATACATGAGATAAATAGCATCAGTATTAACTTAAGCAACGTGTTATGTAGGTCTAACGTGACATTATCAGCTAGAGCTCTGTGGACTTAAAAATACATTTCTGACGGTAATGCGATCTTTGAGGTACTACCAGGATAACAATGGACATTATAGTGAGACTAGAGTCTGTGAATGCTGACTACAATCATATAAGCTACGTGATATCGCAGATAGATGGCATCATGTGTGTGTGAAAAGTGGTAAACATTATTGAATATATGGTAGCCTAGCCTGCCATGACAGATGCGTTTGAAGGAGGCTTTCTTCAGTAACAGGAAGATAAGTTTGATGACTTGCATATGCTACTAACATTGACGCTCATTATTGGGAACACCAAGAACAAGAACGGTGGGACTGGGGATGATCTCACGAAAGGTAAACCCTAATAGGGAGGAAACAATGATCAGTGACCATGACCAGTCTTAGTGCACGATAAATATCTAAGAGACATTGCAACAGAAGGTGGACATTGAAACTAGGAAATATAAACCTGTAACAGTTCTTTGTAACAATTCTTGTGAGTATATACAATCTTAGTTGACTGAATAGCAATAGTTTAATTGATGAAGTGCAGTACTAAGTGAGATAAATTCTTGCAAAACCACTAACATTCATAACGTTTCGGACGAGCCCGGATTGTCATAATGATTTAGTTACAATATACCATTTCCAGTGAGTATGACATCAATCAGAGTACCGCAAATCTTAAACAAATGCTTATATCTAGTAGATAAATTATAGCTATACACACGAGTACTGCGGGAAAGTGCAATTCAGTTAAATATTAAGATACGAGCCTTGTACTGTCGGTCATTGTTTAATAAATCCCTGAACTATATGTTTGACAAATCTCTCATCCTGTCCATGAAGGACAGAATTAAATGTATATATGCTAGTTAGCATTGTAATTGTGTGGCCACGTCTGTGGTAGAAAATAATAATAATATAAAAAAACTGTCGGTCACTAGCAACATTTTGTCCATAAAATTCCATATGGGGAATATGTTTGATTTACATTTATACGGTAATAAAAGACCTAAATTAAATAGGTTTGTTAACAATTGTGCAATAAGGTAACTAAACAATGTATTGACAGTTCTATACATTAATGAGGTACCTCTGGCATTGTCCCTGAGAACTATAGGCTTCACCGGTCTTTGACTCTTCGCCACACCCAACATAAAACCCCCCCAAAAATGCCATAAAACACGAAATTTCTACACTATTCACAGTAAATAATACAATTTAAAAATACTTAATAGAAAGTAAATTATATTATATAAATTATTATTGCTTTAAATAATTTTATATTTGTACCCATTTACTGATGATTAACTGTGAAGGACGGCGTATATAATTCGAAAGGTGTACCAAACTACTCTGTGGAATATTATCACGACATACAAAATACTGAGATAAATATACAAAAACAACTTCTTTTAAAGTGAGAGAAAACACACAGAAAGGACATACCGGTAGATGTACGCAGGAAATGTAATATGTCGAAGAAATGTAAGGAATTCCTCGTACCCTATTCATGTGATCAACAATTAGAATACACTGAAAGATGAAGTAGTATAAGTCACCTCCAGCAACAACTGCAAGGTGAGATATGGCAAAAGTATCAAAAGTCAATAAATTTAAAACAGTAATTCTCCCCGTAGCAACTGTTAGGTAAGCCCTACCACCACCAGATCGATATATTGGACTTCTCCTTAAGTCTTATCTCTTTATGACGAGTTACTCCGGAAACAATTGATATAACGAATGTTGTTAATGACTCAGGGGCAAGAAGTCTAAGCATAGTGGCGCCTGTATATGCCTTGCATGTCGGGAATATGTACACGTATGCTTGTCTTAGTAAAGGGGCCGAGCGTGTACCTGTGTGTACCTGTGTTGTGTGTCTAAAGTGTGTGCCTGTGTTGTGTGTGTACCTGTGTGGTGTGTGTACCTGTGTGGCGTGTGTACCTGTGTGGCGTGTGTACCTGTGTTGTGTGTGCCTGTGTGGCGTGTGTACGTGTGTTGCGTGTGTGGGTCGCATGTTCTAGTGCTGAGGCGTGAGCGTGTGCTCGTTCCATTTATTATGAACTCGTACTTTATTCATCTAGTGCTTGTGGCGGCTGAGCCTCAGCTCTTGGGTCAAGGCAACCTTCAGTCGCTTGGTATACATGTCCCTGTATACCAGGGATATGTATCAGTATACAGGTTGTCTCCACCACTTCAATACCCAGCATTAATTTACTTACTGCACTAAAACAGCCAAAGGTTTAATGTCTCTTTTGCTCATTCAGGTACTTAGTTTCAAGTACCTTCCCTTCCCATCTGCCCCAAGATTTCCCCCCATCACATATATATATCCTCTCCTCTCCTCTCTATCCCTCTTACTCTTTTTACCTTTCTCCGCCCTATGTCTCTCTCTCTCTCTCATTCTTAAGATGTAATACATCGTTCTCGAGTAACAAAATTAGTGACTGGGTCAGCCACTTTTCACTGATCGGGAGGGGTCACCATTCAGCCCGATCCCCCTCCTTAATAGGAAGAATAAAACCGACCCGACCAGCCTATGTCTATTCCCTACCCCAGATCACTCACCCTACAAAGTTGAATGAGAGTAGCCCTAAGCGTCTGGCCTACAACCTTGGACGAACAAACAGACATTCTTGTAGATATAGTCTGTCTTTGTTTACCATCAGTTGCCGTCTCTACTGTTCTGTCTTCTGACGTTGTGAGGTTTAGTTCCTTTAGACGCTCCTAATATCTTATACCTCTTAGTTCTGGCACTATCCTGGTGTCACATGTTCCTCGGGATTTATTTCAGATTAATTTTGTGTTTGCGAGATAAGGACTTCATGCTGGAGCCGAAATACCAGAATTTATCAGACGTATTTGGTAGAGCCCAGAGATTGTTTCCTTGTTCAAATTTCAGAATGCAGTTCTTACGTTGGCTAAACCTTGTATATGCAGCTGATGTTTTCCGGTTAATGTTGTCTCTTAAAGAGACCAGTTCCATGTTATCTCAGTCATCAGGTCTTTTTTTTTCCAACACAAGAAGGGCCCCTCTTCCATGTGGTATATACCTTGTGTCCGGTCATATAGCACCAATCTTCATAACTTTGCACACGTAGAATTACATTCTAACAGTCGCTTTTTGACCATTCTTTAACTTTTTAAGTTCTGTCAGTGTTTTCTACAGTATCCTGCGGGTATATTCTGTAAAGGTGTTTGGATATGCCATAAATGAGTATGCACTGTGAGACACTCAACATATTAGTCAGGGACAGGATAGGTGTTATTATTGAGCCTATGGAGCCCCGCTAACAACCCCTCGACGCTCTGATACACTCCTACCAACCTTATTGTTTATTTACTTCTCCCATATGGTAGATGTCGTGGACAGGGAGCATATTAAGCTCTAGGATGTCTCTCTAAGCCAACAACTCCACGATGCAACCCACAACGTTCACTCTGCTCTCGAGTACCTGTTTACTGCTAGGGTAACAGAGGCACATCGGGTATAAAGAAACGTGCCCAAACATCTCGCCGGTCCGATGAATCGAACGCTGGTATAAATGGTTATGAGCAGAGGCTAGCCACTGTAGCACTTTCACCGTCACTTCTGACCACTTCTCCAAATTGTATAATAATCTGATGAAGAGTACCGTGCCAAAGACTTTCTGACTGTCCAATAGTATGCAGTCTTCCTGTCCTTTTCAAGTTTGTATGTTTTTTGTCGCCCTCTGTGTGTGTGTGTGTGTGTGGAGGGGTGGGGGTGGGGGTGCGTATACGAATAGGTGGGTGAACAACAGGTGCGTTCTAAGTGTGCGCAGGAAACATGCTGGGGGTCGAGGTGAGCGATGTGTTGAGGAAGGAACACAGGTGGCAACGGTCAGGTAATTGTGTTTCAGATCAATACTGGCCTAGGTACTGCTACCTTTTACATCCTGTCTGCTTGCCTGTCTGCCTGCCTGACTTGTGTCTGTCTTCTTGCTTGTCTCCTGTCTCTATATATGTCTAAATGCCTGTCTGCATATCTACCTAAATAACTGACTACTTGACTCACATAACTAACTGCCTGTCCACATAACTGACTGCCTGTCCACATAACTGACTGCCTGTCCACATAACTGACTGGCTGTCCACCATGATGTCGTCCTGGTTCCTGTTGCCGTATCCTTTCCTGCCTCGCCAAGTCCGCCTGCAACCCTATAAATACTCAAGTAATACTACATTATCCATGGGGACAATACTGTATCCCACGGACACTGCCGCACGCAGGGACACTGATGTACGCTGGGACACTGATGTACGCAGGGACACTGCCGTACGCAGGGACACTGCCGTACGCAGGGACACTGCCGTACGCAGGGACACTGCCGTACGCAGGGACACTGCCGTACGCAGGGACACTGCCGTACGCAGGGACACTGCCGTACGCAGGGACACTGCCGTACGCAGGGACACTGCCGTACGCAGGGACACTGCCGTACGCAGGGACACTGCCGTACGCAGGGACACTGCCGCACGCAGGGACACTGTTGTATGCAGGGCCACTGCT